TCCAAGAGTACTAACAGATATCCCAGTATTCACTATTCTTTTTACTTTTTACAGCGGCTGGCTAAAAGTAGCTGAATAACTTGTTTCACCGTTAGGTTTTGACGATGGTAACACTGAACTTATTACGTTATTGGGAAGAAATTTAAATACAAGTCAATATTTTGAAGAGACAAGTACTTTGCGATCAGTTTATGCCGCCTTCCTTTGGATTCATCTCTCAGTTTATCAATATCCGATGTATTCTTACTATTTTTCTGGTATATTCCGGCGCGCCACAATTCAACTGGAGTTGGTATCGAACGGCGTTATGCTGATTCTAATGGGAGAGTAGTGTAGTGGTACTGATTCTAACCAAATGACCTTTGAAGTTGAGTGTATAATTACTGTAAAGGCTTACACTCAACATGCAACACTAAGATCGGGTCAACGATGATGAATGCTGAAAGATTCAATCGGTATGCAATGGCTCATCCTTTCGAACTTTGTCATTCTTTTAACAAAACCCTATTCACATAAAAATACATTATTCTATCCCCAGCCAAAATATGCTCTTCAGAAATGCTAGGTGTCATAATACTGACCGTAGTGGTAGGAAAAGTCAGTGAGAGAATAATGTTACTTCAATGTAAGATCTTTTAGATTAGGAAGTCACATCATGACAAACCTACAATTTTGAGATTAGGTCCTTTATTATTAGTGGCATAAGTGCGAAAGCAAACCATAACCCAACGAATAAACAGAGTGGAACTCTTTTAGTTATTTTTCTGATGACAACTGTTGCGGTTATGATAGAGGACATATAAAGTACGGCAATTGTAGGCGAACGATAAGCCTTCGCGATGTACGTGGCTGTTGAGCATAAACTTGAAGCTGTCCACTAAGTGGGCTGCAGCTGAGTTAGCTGGGAAGACGATTAAATTTAAAGCGGACGCAAAGTAAGATGTGTGAGTATACCCCGGTGTTTTGAAGCGAATAAAATTACAACTGTATCAGAATTTCTTGTTATCTTTTCGCCCCGTGGAATTTGTGGGAGATCCTTAATTTCAAGTATGGGTAATAGATTATTAGGGAGAAAGTTGGATTTGCAATTTCGTGTAGTTCTCTACGGATAGCGGGTGAATTTTTCACCATAAGTTAACACAAGAGGTAAAGCAAAGACTGGATTGGCCACTTTCTCTATTAAACCGGTGATGATAAAGATAATCATTCACTCTATCCTAATTTAGATTAATAAGGGAGAGAGATAAAATATGGATTGAGTGATTGTGGTACTAGAGAAAAAGCTCATCTTGATGTCAGAATAGGTCCTGTCTGGAATGAACCCTAACGTTTGTAATGGTGGGACAGAGCATAATCCTCGAACTGTGTCGTAACGAGTGCACAGTAGTCAACGCTGAAACCGATCATGATATGATCTTGAAGTGAACATGTAGTCTGTAACGACTAATTTCCATAATCATTTGAGTACGTGATATTCATTGGATGGTGGATGCTGCTGGACTACGGTCCGGGGGTGAACACATGTTTATGTGTATCCGATAGAATGTATGAGTTTCGGACTATGAGTCTTGTATGCATGTGATGTATACTTGCGCGCCAAGAGCTTTATATCTATATATACTCACGAGATTTGTGAACTTGTTTGCGCATTCTATGATCGCTTCCTAAAGTGATAGGAAAGTATAGACAGTAAAGTGTCCATCTGCACTACATGTGTGGGCAATAACGAGTCCGCCCACACTCCCGACATGAAAATCCCTGAACACACATGAAAATCACTAAACAAGTCGTAGCGATTTCGTTCACACTGCGTTCTTTATTGTCTAGTCATACTCTCTTTGCGAGGCTTTTCTCGTATCCCGATAGGTCAACAAATTTCGATTTTCGGGCAGGAGTAACTAACTAAGAAGTGACAGGGCTAAGACAAATACGTTTTTCTAAATTCAAGTTTTTGCTCGCTCCCGTTCCTGAAGTACGGTATATCGATCCATTTGCAAATTACGAACCCAAACTAACGATAGAACAAGGCTCTAATTTAGGTACCATAGCTTATTAGCAATTTACAAATAGTCGACTCAAAGGATTTTGAAGCCATGCCTATATCCTGCAATAGTCATGTGAGCCAATTATAAATCGAATTCTCCATTGAATGGTTTTGACAGTCAGGAGGCGAAGTGGAGAAATGAGATTTACTGAAAGGTCGTTGTTGACTATTAGTAACTGCAAAGTTCCCTGAATGACGCCTTGTATAGTTCTAAACATAAACTCTTCTTAGTTTCAACTTACGCTGTCAACTTTAGTGTAGAATGTTCAGACTCGTGGGTGGTCACTCAACTATGAAACGAGTTAGTCGTTGGGTGCTATGTCCTCATTTCTGACCGACAGAACAGAATTTGGTATTGTGCAAATGCCTTGAGATAGTTCAGTAACTATTCTTATACAACATCCCACTGATCTCTGCAGTCTTTCCAGTTTTCCCATCCTGATGGGACGCTTGTGATGCACGGTCTTCCCTTCCTTCTTGAAACCGTCTATGACTTTTTGTGGTCCTCTACCAAGCGTTACAACACTCTGAGAGCGCTGGGAATAAAGCTAAAGGCCTGTGACAGCTACGGTTTTCCCTGAAGTGGCAGGCTCTGGTTTTCAGTCCTTTACTGACAGATTAGAGCCTGAGAAAGGTTGAAAAAGGTGACTTTCTGAACTCCGAAGGGCTCCGACATAATATTTTAGCGCTAATGTTCCTATGTCACCACAAAAAAGCAACCTAGTGAATCCGAATCCCATTAATTTTCCCAATAATAACCTTGTTCTCACTTTGCAATTTTCTTCTGTTAATTCCATCATTCGAGTCACGCTTTAGACTAGTTTCTGAAAGTAAATATCGAGGTCACAAACTTCTACAATGACAAGTCTTTTATCCGATATTTCTGTAGCTCACTAGTGTCAATAGACTGATTGCTTCTCAATCGTCCATTGATGTTAATGAATAATACAAGGTATTCAACAGTCTTAAACGCGTGTCGTCTAAGTCATTTGGCTGAAATACTCCTGATGAATCTGACAGTTATTTCTGAAAGTAGACGTGGGCTACGCTTTAGAAGGTTAACATGACCCGGAGCAAATATTACTAAGAAACTTCCTTTGTTTTGAATTTCAAATGTTGGAATAACATGTGTTGATATCATGTCTGAACTTTTAAGACGCTTCTATGTTAGGGGAGCACAAAATTTATATATGCCTCAGGGTTCGTACAGAAATGAATATCACGAATGTTTGCCAAATGTCGAGTAGATTTCGCTCTAAAAGTATTGAGATCATAAACGTTCTACCGGCGGTTTAAACGTTCATACTTATGACGTATAGTTGATTGAATTGATTGAAACCAACAACCTAAAATTAGGCAAAAGATTGTCCATGAAGATTCCCCCTACATTTTCAGTGATAAAAAGTTAGACACGAAATATTCGTTTTCCCGAGTGTTAGGACTTCTTACTACAAATCAGCCTTTTCAACGTTGAGGGTTCGGTATTACAAAGGCAAACCAAAATTTTAGTTTCTTTTGGTGAATGTGCTTTTGAGCATCTTCAGCTTTTACATTTAAGTTGATGGGGTCAGAAACTTGTCTCAAATAGCCTTTCGAAGTGCTGTCATCTTGTTTAAAGGAGTTATGCTAAAATGCAATAATTTTGCGAGTAAGATCATCATGCAACTTCATTTATAGATACCCATAAATCTCCAGTGACATTTGGTTTTAAATTGTCCGAACTTCATCAGCCTTCTCTATCAATAATGTTAGCGTTCGCTTCTCTCTTCACACAGTGACACTATCACTGGTTTCCTATCAAAAATGTTTTGTATGACTTCCTTTTATTCAGTTCTGCTGGTAAGATGATGATATTTTCAACCGTCTCTCAGACGTTCGTGTTAATAGAAAAACACATTCAGTCACACCTAAGTTGGCTGGGTCTACTGTGAGCAAGCATTTTGTGATCAGCACAAAGGTGATGACATTTACCCTCGAATCTGTCACATTTCACGTCATAAACAACAGAAAATGCTGTATCTGTGTCACTTGCTTATGTGTTCGGTGATTAGACCGACAGACCGGGAACACGTTTTGCGAGAAGTTACAAAATGTAAAGCTCAACAACAAGGTATCAATGAAAAACAGCGTATCAGATGGTAACTTCAGTTAATAATGTATCTGTAATTCAGAGAGGCTTCTTTAACCAAGTGTTATTCTATCTTCAAGGTTGAAAGATACAGTCGGATGACGGCTTAGTGGTTGGGCATTCGTGCACACGATCGAAGGTCCTGGGTCCCAATACCCCCCCGCCAAAATACCATTCGCTGTTGCCAAAGGCCTTAGGCTATTATGAGTTATTCGTAGGTCTTTTCACTGCTTGAACAAAGAAATATTTGTATCTGACTTTCGTGAGACCTAATGTAGGATATAGGATTCAAGCATCGAGTCCTTGTTTCAAGTATGAGGTAGTTATGCTGCAACGAGTTGAAGGATGAGGAACTAAAATGGCAAAAGGTCTCTCTGGCCTATCTTATGAAGACAGACTGAGACAGCTCAACTTATTTGCCTTGTCTTATCGCAGATAACGGAGTGATCTATTATTGGCTTGTCGTATACTGAACAATCACTTTGGTACTAATGTCATATCTCTTCCCTACGTCTAGGACTGGTCACTTGAGAGGACAATCCAAGAAAATCCGAAAACCGAGATCAAATCATCTACAGCTAGAGTTTCGTTTCTCGCATCGAGCAGTGAATTGATGGAATTCTCTATCAAAACAAGTATTATCAGCACCTTCTGTTTATATATTCAAAACGAGATTAGACCTCCACAGTTTTGCAAACTGCAAGGATTAATATAGGTCGATAGAATTCCTATCGTTATCACTGAAGACTGAAAACCCAGGCTTGTTGACCTTGGAAATAGTTTGCAAACTGTCTATACTATTTGTCTTGGTCAAGTAGTGGAGGCAAAGTGAAATTCCCGAGAACATGCGTAACCTCAATCTGTCGAGTTGTGGTGGTTTGTGGCTGGAAGGTCACAGCGTACGTCATATTTCTTTGGATGACTGCTCTAATAACATCACTGTTTCTTTTGAGAGAAGTATTGAGGTGATTAGTAGCACGGGGGTAGGTCTTTTGAGACTCAACAAACATTTGTAATTAGATAAATACTTACCATGCTCAAGGTACCCAACAAGAGATACATAGTTGTTTTGCGATATCTCCACCTGTATACTTGGTTGCATGTTCCAATGAAATATTTCTTTGGCATTCACTGAATCACCAAGTATGTTGTTTTGTATTATCATAGCAAGCAGATTTATGAAAAACTTGATCTCAACACAGAATTAAAAGCTATACGTATTTCTCCAGATCTTTCAAAAACAGTTGTCATAACTGGTAAGTAGGTTTACAACAAAAGAGTTTCAGGTGATGGTTTTATTCATATTCTTTCTTCAACTCTCGAAACTATATCCAACTTTTCACTGTACGAGGAAGGTTTCGGGTCGGGTAGGTATTTATTATTACTATGAACTCCCTTCAGCTCTGCCAGTTTCTCTAGGTTGGGGTAAGAAAGAAACTCAGTTTCATGGCTCTGAAGGCAAGGAAGCAGCTTTAGCAAAACCGGTATGGATTAGGGTTCACTTACTAGCTTATGAACTATTTTTCGTGCTTTTTGGTTTCGTAGGTTTTCTTGAGTCCCTTTAATGGCTGCACAATCTTTTTATTTGTTTTATTTATGGATAACTTTTGGTAAATATGGGTCTCTTGTCTTCCGTAATATGTTTTCCCTTTCTCAAAGTGGGGATTTTTCGGGCGAATTTGGGTAAATTCTTAGGAAATCTCAGACCCAGGTAAAGTTTTAGATTTGTATCTGAGTTGCCCTAAAATTCATTCTAAAGTTGGGAGCTTGGGTCTATTGGGGTTTGCCGAAATGAGGAAATTGGGTCCGCTGTTAATTGATTGTTGTTATCTCTAGGTTCGTTTATGAAAGCACTTACCTTAGTAAAAATTTTGCACACATAACTATTTGTTATGCAATCTATATCCACAACTAACCCATTTCAAGTAGCTCCACCATATGATGATAGCAAAAATTGAAATTTCAAAAATGAGTAGTGAAGGATTTGAATGTGACCAACTTGGTCTCGTGTTCTGTTACGGGTATGAGGGCTGGTGTCACTTCCCGGCCGCTTTCACCGTGGAAGGGTATTTCTTGAGGAAACTGAAAAGAAAGATGAATCATTGTTGGTTTTAATGACCTGAGAGCGTGACCGCAAAGCCCAGGGGACAACTGCTTGAGGCCGGTCGCGCACGGCCTTTTCGTGGGAGGTTTTTGATGTGTTAGCTCCGTTCTTCAAGGGGTCTTACCGCAGGAGACGGAAATCTGTGAGGTGTGACATTTTTAGAGTCAACCTTTTCTAACCCCTTTCTTCCTTGTGAGAAGGCAGCACCGCTGTAGATGCTGGTTGTCTGAGGGAAACACTTTACTGCTGTCACACCCCTCTACAGTCAGCAGTACGACTTCGACCTCAGACCTTGAGTTGCTGCTTTTAGTCTTACCGTTCTCCAATCGACCTGTCTGGCATGGTAGAACCTACAGGAACATATGTTTCAGCCAATATAGCTCGGACGGGTCATCACGATAGGCAAGCCCGACCACCGTGTCAATGTAGCAGCTACGGTCGGGTGATGAGTAGTGAAAACAAAATGACTAGATAAAGCCAGTAAAACCCAACAAAATTTAAGCAAAGCTACAAAGTAGATATATCTCCATAATAGTCGGTCTTGAGCTATTAGCAAAACCATCCAGTAAGTGGTCTCTATCATTTCAACACACCGAAATCGACTCGTCTTCATGACTCACGATAGTATATGTTAGCATTGACTTTGTCCTTTTTTTAGCAGTCTTAACCAAGTGTTCCACAACCAGCATCACAGTACAAAAATTCTGGCATAACACCAAAAACGCACCACACAATGACATCATAATGTTGTAGGGAAATAAAAAAGTAAAAGGTCATCTAATCAATAAATAGAGAAAGAATAGTGTTTCATAAAAAAGATACTAGTCTGTTTAAAATACAACGGAGATTAGTTTTATTTTTAAGGGTTTGTGAGGAATTCCACAGCTGGTCACTATCCAACTTTAAAACAAAATTAATTTTGCTGAGCTAAGAAGGTTCATCCTAATGTCGAAAATTTACACCAAGATTGACACTTCTAGTCTGTTCTATGTCTGATAATTCTTAGGCTACTTAGTAGCATGATACCTAAAACCTCAATCAAGGAGCTGTGATAGACCGACAGACGTCAGTCTTATGCAGCTATATTTGGTGTTATATAGAGGTCACTTCCTCTTTTTACAGTCAGTTCCAGAGATGTGAGATATATTAGGACAGTATTCACATGACACTTATAAGCCCCCGAAGCCAGTGTTCCAATATGTTAGCACTTATAGTTATTATGCCCGAACACAATGTCGAACTTTGCGATTACTGACACTGTGTTAGCATATAAGTAGATGAAAAAATATCCGGTAGTGGTCTGACCAAGACAGATAAGTTCATAAAGTCTCTGACTATTTGTCCGAGTTATGTTGTCAAATCCATCAAATTATCACAATTAGTGGTTGAAGATCTTAGGTGACGGTTGGAAAATAGTCTCGCTTAACATGATTTTTGTTCTATTTTGTCTTTTTGAACTCATTTCTACTACTGACCGTAATACTTTCTAACATATTCGTTCCACTTATAAATTTTCCTTTTCAATGTGTTGGCTTTAAATATAACAGCACAAATCAACACACCTTTCCTAGTTTAGTGTATTACCAATTAAAACAATTGGCCTTCAACTATTAGTTTACAGGTTCGAATCTTCCTGCATCTACCTAGGCCTTGATAGCCCTCAATCACTAATTGTAACCCGAAGCCAAGCAAGTGAATGCATACTTAATGAACTTCGTTTCACTTGTGTTTTTAATAATATCAACGACACGAATGATTAATGTGCTTTATGATAGGATCGCTTTCTAGCTTTTGTTTTAGGCGTGCTTAATTGACAAAACGATTTTTTCAACTTGAATTGCTTTATCTTCTACTGTAGGGAGTAAGCATATTCAGCATAGAAACTTCAATAAAGATGAACAAAACTATGAAGGGCTGTTTTGACTTTTTACCGTAAGCACCGTTCAGTTCTTAAAATATGCAACATACTGGCCAGTGAATGATACAAGATGATTGATTACCTGTTTGTTATAACTACTGATTTCTTTAAATCGAACAAATATTGGAATTGACCATTAAATCATCAGTTCATTCTGCTTTCTCTAATGAGGCAAAACACCCTATTGTATGCAAAAGTATACGATGAATTGCTTGTGATTAAAAATGACTTCTTGCATGATCCGTTAATATTTAAATGTGAACTAATATCAGTTGAATTTAGATTGCCACTTAATTTTCTGTGTGCTATGACAGAACTATAATGAAGTAATTCCTAAGTGAATATTGTACCCAGTGTTGTAGATAGTTTTAAATTAAGTGCTTTTTACCACCGGTCAGCAGTTGATTGTTAATTGTTATGGTTAATAAAATCAGTAATGACTGCTCTCATTTACGTGTAAATATTTGTGGCTTCACTATATGTTGAAATGAGTTGGTTATCAACCAGTGGAACAGTTCTAGACACAATTTCAAATCATGAAAAGGTTTTCTATCTATTCAATTCACCTTCCTGTGTAATAAATAAGTACTAATATATAGCTGTTTATCAATTACAGGTTTATTTAGTTGACATGATGTTTGTGTGAGTTAGTAAAACTGCAACCTTGTAAGTAAGACCGAATTAGGTTAATCGAAGTCCGAACATGCAACGCGCTGGTTGGTTGAAAAGCCTAATGCTTTAACAAATAAGCCACCACTTAACGGTTACATTCCCTCTGAAGTGTACAGTTCATTTTTTATCCTTTTCTAATCCCCTCTCCACATAAAAACTTGTCAATGGACCTATCCATCGAAAAAAATAATCGTTTTAATTAACCGATCAAACCACTAAGAAATCATACAGTATCAAGATATCCACTTACTTTCCCTAGATCTACTTCTTACGTTTTTTTACAAGCAAATAAATTATCAATTGAAGGGAATTCTATGGTTCGCGCTGAACAGGGAGGTAGGCAACCGTGGTTTTTAAGTAAATATCGTAACTTATCAGATACAATGTTTCCTTTTCCAAGTTTCGCAGATAATCGAATAGCGATTAGTAGTCGCAACTTCTTGGTGTCTCCAAAAAAATATATCCAGAAACACATGGCTAGTGTGCTTTATTGTGTTTTAACCAAAAGAAGTAGATAAAATACGGAATGTAAAGCAAGGAAATATTCAAATTGAGGAAAATTCTGGTATAAAGTATTCTGTTTTTAGCCACATCTTGTGTCTAGATCTTAGTAATTATTTCAGTAAACGTATTAAATTTAGTTACTCTATACATATTGATCAAGACACCATCTATTTATTTTTGTTTTCACATCAGACTGTACCAGTCTCAAACACTCAATATGATGATGGTCGTTTTGAAATTGCATGGCGCGATGATGGTCTTTACTTCGCCGTATCATGGATTGATCCATTAACAGAGAATCGTAGACGTATACGCGTCTACAATGATACTGGTGAATTGTTTTCAACAACTGAATTAACGAATATGATTTCTCCAGGACTTTGTTGGAGGTAGATTAATTTCGTCGTTTTCTTTGTTATTTTTTCCGCTTTATTTTAAGGTGATCTCTTTTTGTGTACTCAGATTAGTTTTTAATTGTTATCGACTATCAGTTAATTGTTGGTTCCTCTAGGTTCATATTAATGTATTATCTCAATCATCAGGTTAAATAGATGAAATCGAATTTTATATGGTTTCACTTCTTGTGGTTTGATTGTGTATGATTTTTTGCAGTCAAAAGTGTTGTAACTAGTGCTCAGTAACTGGGTAAAATCAACTGGAATTCCCTTACGTGGGCTTAGTTCTAGTTAACACTTGTCAATGTCACATAACAGTGGCTAAGATTTCATAGCCTAAACAATCCCCAGTGTAATAAAATCCATGTATAGTATACCCATAAACTTATACCGTGATATTTCTATAAAACCTCAGACCTCGTGTTCAATTAATCACAACGGCTCAACGTCGAGAAGGTCGTGGATTGGATATCATATTTTTTGAATCGAACTCCCAACGTCATGGAGAATTCGAACTGATCGGTGATGAATCTGAAAAGTTTTACCAAGTGGAATCTATTATGTTTAATCCGACCGGTTCAATTTTGGCAGTACTGTGTAGTGGAACTCAAAACCATCCGTGGTTTAGTAAGTGTTATTAATATTCAGTAGAATGAGAATCTCAAAATTTACTAATTCGTATTTTTCTGTGCTTAATTTTAAATACACCTTTTTGCTAACGAAAATGATGCATGTAAAATACTTTGTTGGATAGATTACAAACATGTTATGTATGTTTCCTGTTGAGCGTAGGTCATTTATGTAGATCAGGATGAATTTTATTATTACTAAACCTAAAACTGTTAATTGGGATGGGTAGTCACTTGTAGGAACAGTCTGACTGGAAAAAATATGAATCACTGAATGTCAGCTCAGTAGCGAATCCAAAGTATAGCGCTCACCACGAGCTTTCAAAGTCTTTGTGTTTGATCCCTGATAAAGGTCGCAACTACCTATCTGAAAAATCGCATACTATAATAATACCCCCCCTAACCAGTGCTCTCTAGCTTTCTATGATTGATTAATTGATGCTATTCAGTGATCTAAACTAATTTATAGCAGCAATCAAAGAAAACAAAGGCCAAACATTGATGATTTAATTTAAAAAGATTGGGTGAAAAAAATATATAGGAATACTGAAATTCAAAATTGAGAAGATAGATAATGGATACATATGTGCCATCATGAACGATTCTGAGCTATATCACCCTAAGTCTCAGGCACTGATCGTAGTGATCACGCAGATCACAACCAGCTAGTCTGCATTTACTATCATAGTTTAGACTAACAATCAATGACTTGATGGGTTGACTCTGTGTCTTGCCAATAACAATACTCTTATTCAACCGGTGTTGCTAATAATAGTGAACAGGAAATTGGATTTCTACTATATATTGTTATTTTTGTTATTGCTATTAAAAATCCACTCACTTGTCAATTTATTTAAAATTATCAAGTCAAACCTTAGTAATGATATTCACCACGTTTGGTTACATTAAAGGATTTTCAATACAAAATATGTAATGTTGCAGTGGATTCCTCTGTAATGACATTTTTTATATCGCGTATTTATGCATACATGCGTATGTTTCATGTATGAATTATAATGTAATCTCCTTTTGTTCTTCCAAAGAATAGATGAAGAGATAACTAATGTGGTAGTTTTCCATGAATTTTACAGTATTTCAATACTGAATGATTGGATGTATATGGATGCATAAGACAACTAGCATGTATACTCGTTTAGTTAGAACAAGTATAAAATAAGAACATTTATCAGAATATTTGCACAGTTAGGAAATCTACTTATTTCGTTTAAAGCATAAATTCTGGTACAACATGACACCAAAATAATGAATCACAGAAATCAATCAATAGTATTGTGAAGAAATAAAGTAGGAAACTGTGGTACAGTCGATACGTGAGTCAGAATTGTATTTGATAAAATATACTGTTCAACTGATAATGCAGCCAAGGAAAGCTTTTTTCAGTTAGGGAAGTTCATATAACTTTTTATGAAGTGTAATAGAAAATTATAGAAGCACTGCTGGCTTTTTATTATTATTATTATTATTATTATTATTATTATTATTATTATTATTATTATTATTAGCTTTATTCAACATTATATTTTTGGTACAACATAGAGTTCTCAGCATAAAGTATTTCAACAAGTTTCCTTTTCTTATACCTTGATCGATTGTGACGATAAATTTTGAATGATGACCAGTTAGATGTTAGAAGTTCGGTAATCCACATTTGATTACTGTTCATTTGTTTCAATGCATATTGCCAGCAACCATGATGTCGCTGATTGTACCTTTTTGTATCCCGTATAGCGAAAGGTTATAAACGTTTCATAAACGCGCCTGAATAGGTTGTGCGCACAATAGACAAAGTGATGTGCTAAAACAAACAACAAAGCAGATAACTTGATGAAATATCTAGATCAAAGGAACAGGTAGCCCAGATATTCAAGCAGGCCACCGGTTTGACAGCGTTTATTACGCGAAGCTCAACCATGTAGTTCAAACCTATCAACAAAGCTCAATACCAAAGTGGGTGACTTCATCGACTGATGTAATGTCTTGGTTTGATTCTCCTTAGCTTCTTTCCAGCCTACTCCTACACCAACGAATATCACCTGTTGAGGTGAGCTGTGGCCCGACCGTAGCTGCTACCTTTACGCGTCCCTTTATCACCGCGCACCGCTAGAGCAAACGATTCGAGTACGCGGAACGTTATTCCTAGTCTTCTGAAACCACGCTCTAAACTACATGTAGGAGCTTTTAACGTCCGAACACTGTGCCAAATAGGATAACAGGCGTCCTTAGCTAGGACTTTAGAATTTCACGCCATCGATGTGTGCTGCGTTTTCGAAACGCGCATACAGGATCCGAGTAGCGTCATTCACTTGACCTCACCATTTCAAAATAATGAACCAACTTGATTCACACTTCGTGTATGTGGAAGCCCTGATGCTGCTTCTCGCGGCCTCGCTGGCGTAGGTATGGCATTGAGTCCTAGGTCTGAACTAGCTCTCTTAGAGTGGATCCCAGTAGTCATTCGTTTGTGCGCTGTCCGACTGAACGGGACAATAAGGAATCGGAAAGATAGGGACACTCGTCGTTGCCTTTTCGTTGTCTCTACCTACTCTCCTATTGACTACAGCTCAGATGATGTAAAAGATGAGTTTTACAGAAATCTCCCCAACCTTCTCCGAAACGTTAGGCGCTCTGATGTAGTAATAGTGGCTAGTGACTAATGCTCAAGTAAGTAAATTAATTAGAAAGGAAAGACACCTGGGTGGATCTTATAGCATTGTGGCTCAAAGAACAGATAATGGCGACCGTCTGTTGCAGTTATGCTCAGATAACCGCCTGTTCCTTGCAAACACTAACTTTAAGCATAAGCAAAACATGTTTTAACATGGCGATCCCCGAATTCTTCCCAACGTTGGACCCAAATGGATCACATCGCTATCAGCCACCGATGGAGGGGCTCGATAGAAGACTATCGCTCATTCTGGAGCACATGCTCAGATTCAGATCATGCTATAGTACGAGCGCGTATTTGCCCACGTCTTACTGGACGTAGGAAAGACGCTGCAAGGAAACCTCTTAGGGGCCTACTTAATGATAGTCGAGCTAAAAGTATATTTCGGGAACAACTAGAAAAACAGTTAGGCAGCCATGCTGGTGATGCCCACCCCGAGGCAGCATGGAATGATATCCGAAAAGCTGTGGAAACAACAGTGATATCTGATAGTAAGGTAAACCACAATGTCAGAGGGAAACACTGAATCTCCGCAGCATCTACCGCACTGATAGATGCTCGGAAACTCATTCCATCTGGCTCTGAACATAACGAAGAGCGGAGTCAGCTTAAGCGCAAGCTGACAAGAAGTCTACGCAATGACCGTGAACAGTGGTGGGTAGCGAAAGCAAGAGAGATGGAAAAGGCAGCGGCAATAGGTAATAGCAGACAATTGTTCAGACTTGTTAAGGAAACCGGAATTAGGAACCCGACCGTTAGCGAAACAATCTCAGAGAAAGATGGACATATTATTCATTCTCAATCCAGGAGATTGGATCGGTGGGCAGAACACTTTGGGAATCAGTTCAACTGGCCTTCAGCCACACTTCGGTTTCCTACGATCTCCAGTCAACCTGAATGGCGAGTTAATGTAGGTCCTCCGTCCCTTTACGAAGTTGAAAAAACCATAGGAAATCTGAAGCGAGGGAGAGCAGCAGGCCCTGACAGGTTTACTCCTGAGATTTTTAAGGATGGTGGTCCAGTATTAGCAGTGAGATTAACTGAGGTCTTAGGTAGAATTTGGGAACTGGACGTAATCCCATCTGACTGGTCTCAATCACTGATTGTGCCAGTCTATGAGAAAGGATAAAAGTCCTCTTGTGACAATCACAGAGGAATCAGTTTGACAAATATAGTGTCTAAAATATTAGCTTCAATAATACTTCGACGCCTAACTAAAGCTCGTGAAGAGCAGACCAGAGAAAATCAGGCTGGTTTTCGACCTGGACGTGGTTGTATAGATCAGATATTCACACTACGTCAGGTTCTAGAACACAGACACAGGTTCAGACGCCCCACAATGGTAGTATTTCTCGACCTTAAGGTGGCATTTGACTCTGTTGATCATGGGGTTCTATGGCAATGTTTTGTCACTGAAAGGAGTACCAAACAAGTACATTAACCTTATAAAGGTTCTCTACTCGAACACAACTGGTCGAGTGAGAGCTTATGGCGAACTGTCATCAGAATTGATTACCTCAAGTGGTGTTCGTCAGGGTTGTCCACTCTCCCCATTCTTGTTCAACTTTGTCATTGACGTACTTTTAGAGATAACACTCTCCTCATCTGACTTTACAGGGGTTGAACTTCTACCGGAAGGTTCACTTGTTGACTTAGAATATGCAGATGACATAGTTTTATTTGGTGAAGACGCTGACAAAATGCAGAGTCTTCTGACCACTCTAAGCAACAATGCAAGCATGTTCGGGATGCGATTCTCTCCCTCGAAATGCAAAATGTTGCTTCAGGATTGGGTTACATCGACACCCGAACTAGTGATAGGGAGTGAAGTAGTTGAGTGTGTCGACCGCTTCACTTATCTTGGAAGTCTCATCAGCCCTTGTGGTTTGGTGTGTGACGAAATCTCAGCACGGATACAGAAGGCTCGATTAGCTTTTGCCAACTTGCGTCATTTATGGCGTAGGCGAGATATCCGTCTACCAACCAAAGGACGTGTTTACTGCGCAGCAGTTCGTTCCGTCCTACTTTATGGCAGTGAAACATGGCCGGTAAGAGTAGAGGATATCCGTAGGTTACTAGTATTCGATCATAGGTGTCTTCGAAACATTGCTCGTATATCCTCGGACCATCGAGTAAGTAACACAGTTGTTAGGAAACGGGTACTAGGTAAGGATGGCAAATCGATTGATGAAGTGGTGAAACTTCATCAGTTGAGATGGCTGGGACACGTATTACGTATGCCCAACGACCGACTGCCTCGACGTGCTATGTTCAGTGGTATAGGAGTAGGTTGGAAGAAAGCTAGGGGCAGCCAGACCAAAACATGTCACAAGTCCATAAAGTCACTGACAAGTGAACTGAGTCATGCTGGTAGGTGTAGACTACCTGGTTGGAGACCTCGAGATGATATATATACTACATCACTTATCACTGTTTATTCTCACTTCATATATTCCCATTTTTCAACTTATACAGCAGCTCGCCCATGGTGGAAACTGTTCTATCTAAACGATCTCGAGTCACTGCCTGGTCGGGAGTTGAATGCTTTCACCGAATACAAATACTGAAACAGTCTTTCTGAAACCATGTACGCCATTCAAACTAGCTTCCTTCAACGTTCGCACACTAATCCAAATCGGACAACAGATAGGACTGGATATATCTTTAGAAAGTCTTAATATCGATATTTGCTGCCTACCCGAGACCGAGACCCGTATTCAAGACTTTAGTGAAGTACTACGAATTCGCTCTCCATCTGTCGCCTCAAAAGGCTTGTTTTACGAGCGTTTATCTGGGGACCCTGTGGCATCTTCTTCTGGTCTTGCTGGCGTTGGTGTCGCACTAAGCGCTAGAGCTGAGGCAGCACTAATCAATTGGACCCCTTTAACAGTCGGTTATAAGCTTTTAGATTAGGAAGTTCCATCAAAGTGAGAAATCGGTATGAGAAACGATGTCTTTTCGTTATCTCCGCCTATGCCCCGATAGATTGCAGCCCTTATGCAATCAAGGATGAATTCTACCATCAATTAATTGTTCTTCTCCAGAAAGTGCGTTTGACAGATAATGTAGTACTAGCCGGAGACTTGAATGTTCAGGTCGGTCATCTAGGCACAGAAGAGAGTTGTTTAGGTGGCCGATAGGGACTTGTTGGTCGCAAGTCAGATAATGGTGACCGTCTACTGCCACCGTGCTTAGACCACAACCTGTTTCTGGCTGACACTAACTTCTGGCACATTCATCGCCGATGTGCCACCTGGCGTCTTCCCTCTGGTTCTCAAGCCTGGATTCAGATTGTTCACATCGCGATCAGCTACCGCTGGCGTGGTTGTGTACAAGACTGCTGCTCCTTTTGGAGTACTTATCTGAACTCTGATCATGCCCTGGTCTGCGCCAATCTCACCTTATTTTTCAATGGCCAACGAAGTGACCGCCACCAAAGGATTGATGTCAGCAAGTTGATTGTAACTTCTGTTGCTAGTAAGTATCGAACCGAGCTAGCTTCTAGGCTAGCTACCATTCCACCGAAAAGTATAGATCAGCATTGGTTGCAACTTCATAACGCCATGAAGCTGGCGATTAAAGTCTCCAGCTTCCAGCTGATGAGAAAATTAGGGAAAGACGTTGGAGATAGCTAGGGTATACATTACGGAAATCATCAAACTGTATCACGAGGCAAGTGCTTACCTGGAGTCTTGAAGGGAAACGGAAAAGAGAAAGACCGAAGAACACTGCGTCGATAATTGGAATCAGACATGAAAAGGATGAATAGCAAATGGAAAGGACTGCCCAGGACGAAACTGGACAGAGAATAGTTGTGGGCACCTATGCTCCTCCACGAGGGGTAACAGATGTAAGTAAGTAATAACGATTATTGGTACCGTTTTTTATTCTATCACATATTTTTCTATTGCCACTTGAATAGTAAACGCTTCATCAACATATTGACATCACTTAAAGATGAAACGTATATATCGGAGCCTCTATCTCTCTTTGCTAATTTGTCTGCAGTTCGACTACTAACTTGCTCTAATTACCAATGGTCAATAAAACAACATTTCTGTATAGCTGACAATTCATTAAACGATAGTCAAATTTCCAATATATCATTAACATGGGATCATCATGCTTACAGTGCAGATTTGTCAGCTCTTTATTGTGCTATATCAATTAATGAGTCGTTGCCTAATGATAATCAAGTTAACAGTAAGACGTTATTGCAATGCTGGAAAATGAATAACGTTTATAATTCATCGTGCATATTAACAAATTCTAATGTAAATACAATAACATCATTAAATTCTGGTCTTGTTGCAGTAATCAATGGAAGTAAGCCTTTTAATTATGTTTTTACTATTTGTTCACTATTAAAATTCATTCGTTATCGCAAATAGATGGAATGCATGTGACTAACTTTGAAATCTAGGACGTGCGTTTCATCCTATTTGGGACTTGTCAGCTGGATGTACCTGCATCCTAGAGTTGATTTTCGCTCGGGGACTCGAACCCCAGTACAGTCTGCTTAAAACTCCATCGCATTAACCACTTAGTTACTGAGTTTAGATAGCCACTCATTTATGCATCAGGTATGCGATTTAATTCAAATTAAAATGGTTTGAATTATCGCATTGTTAGTATTTTTGGCTGAAATTTGATCAGTCTTGATTGTATTCTATATCGACTGGTATCAATAATGGTTATGTCGAGACAACCCACACAGAATGCCCATATTCTAATCAAGTCAAAACACATCGACAACGGAATAATCCAAACCACTTCAAATTGGATTATTAATTGTCATATTCATGTCTATTTGGATATAAGATTTTTGCAACAACCGGTAAACCATATTGTTCGTATGTAGAGTATCTGAAGTTTTTATAGGTGCTAACAGCTGTAAGTTATACCCATTTAAATTTGTATAATTGATTAATAAAATACTTAATTGTAAAATACCAATTCGGAAGTATCATCATACTAGGTGACTTTGTATTTACTTTATTATAATACATTTTCTGTGATTACATGGCGTATGCAAATGTGAGCTGATGTACATAGTACATTACTTTATCTACCTTAACTCATATGACAGTTGTTAGAACATTATTTCCAACTGATTGAGAACATTTTTTTACTGATTAATGTGTCGATAGAATGTAATCATCATTTATCTTCGCCTAATTGGATGGCCACTGTTTAGGAAATCTTAAATTAGAAGAAAATAATGTTCAGTGCTTCCAAGTGTTTACTGATTTTCTGATGGACATTAAACTGTTTGAAGAAAAAATGTCTTTAAACTAAATAGTTTTTGCACAAAACTTTCATGAATCAAAATTTGTAACGGGAAAACGAGACAATTTACTCAGGATGCAAATGTACCAACATTAACAGTGAGAAATGATATAAACCCTTACAAATCCAATTCATATCCACTTCAAAAGTTACTAAATTTCTGGACCCAGTAGCTCCAGTGGATAATATGTTTGCATTTGAAACTAAAGGTATCGGATCGGAATTAATATGAACATTAACTTAGAGATACAGGTAAATTCTGCTAAAGAATCCTCAATCGAATGGAACATGTGTCCTAGCTTATTGCTCGACAATATTCAAATTAAAAAAATTACAGATTATGGCTTTTTAATGAGTTTGTAAGGATTTGAATTCTGATTGATTATTAAAGTAATGAGTAGAATGATGATCGTTAGATAATTCAAAGTAATGCAATGTGGGGCTGACTGCTTACGAAACCAAAGCTTTGAAGTGAATACTTATCAGTAAACTACATAACTATCCAACAAAATATGCTTTTTCTTCTGCAATAAAATGATATGCGAAATAGTAAACACAGAATTAAGTATAATCAGATTTCCCTTAACAAGCAGGTGATTAAAAGAAATATAGTCTTTTTTAGTTGCTCATTCTTCAATGAAATCCTTGTGTCCAACCGAAATAAACTTCCAAAAATTGTTTGATTGTCGCTAAGATTTAAAGGTTTCTTGACTTATTATTTTTATTAAATGAGTGTATCTGTTCATTATTTCAATAATTCTTTATCAATACACGTAGAAATGCTACAATTTATAATAACAAACTCTTATTTCACTTCTCGTTTCGTTTCCTTATTTCCATATTTCTCACCTTAGATACCGTCGAGATGAGTTGTTTTGCTTATTCAGTTATTCCACCTCCAATGTTTGCAACACGACTGGTATTTTATTCAAATGGTGTAAATCAATCTAATAAGACACAGTGTAATTTCACTCCATCTGTTTCATCTGTATCTATTCCTAGTTTATGGTTGGGAAATGAATCGGATTCGCCAAACAATGTTATGCCTATATTAATTCAAACAGTCGACTGTCAGTCATCCAAAAATGTATTTCCAAATACGTATTTTATTACTATCACAAATGGAACCTCTTTAGAGAAGGAGTCATTTTGTAATGGTGAGGTGTACTCTGAATGGCATAATGGAGGGAAAAATATTGCACCTTGGCCAAAGACTGTTGTTAAAATCGAGTGAGCCTCTTTTACTGAATATTATAACTTTGTATCAGACAACGTCACATGATGAACTGTAGAATCAAAGTGACTTCAAGATGTTCTGCTATTTGACCTACCGTTTCGAAAAACATCGGACGATATATATATATCATACTAGACTAATCCATTTGGATATGTATGTGCAATTTCCTTGATGAGATGAATAACCCACCAGTTTACAGATTCCTCACCCATCATCTCTGTCCATGTGATCTGTTGGGGCTTTGTCAATGTAACATAAAGATCATTTTTAGCCTAAGAGATTAGGGTCTTCTAGTTGATCGAATGTTCTTTTGCAAACAATTTTAGAATAAATCGCCATCACATGTTGAGGTAGAGGAAGTCCTTCTTGTTGACTACTCGATGCGAGAGTTGACTGTCAGTTGGTATGCAGTTAATTCTAATCTTGTAAATCATTTTTATCTCTCTTTTTACATTATGAATGTAAAAAATTGTTACACATCAAATCTAAAATCATAATCGAATGATTCAGACTTTATGATCAATGTCTCTGAAATGATAGAGACGTCCCATGGAGTCCTATTTTGTGCTTAGGGGAATAGACTTAGTTCTCATCATCAATTACCGTCATATGAGAGCTTCTTAAACGACTTGTGCAACATATTTTCTAACTGTCTAAGTGTATATAAGTCTCTCATATATTTAGCCAATTAAACTGTCTTTTTTATTACTGTATTTCAATTCCGTTCTTTTTTTCTCAAATTGTATTCCAGTATGGATAGACTGTTCATTGAATGCAACGGCAATGACGAATCATTGAATTCTTTAATCTTAACTGAGTTAAAACAGAAGAACACTTGTTTATTTAGTCCATTGAGTTGTTTCGCCTGGTTAAGTCTTTATGAAGTATTATTTATTGGTGCGGATGGTCTACTATTAGGTTATTTGAACATGAAAAATCTATATGCTAGTGATGATGATTCCGATGGTAATGCAAATGGACGGTAAGTTTATATATATATAATTACAGGCTTGTATTACTCGTATTGGTTATGTTTGAGGAGTCTTTGTTGACATCCAGTTGACGAATCCTATATAGGACGAAACAACCGTCCTAAATTCCAATGTTAGCCTTAATTCAAATATACTAATATTATAAAATAATCGTTTATTAAGTATTTTATGAATCCACATCTTCCTGATTGTTATTATTATTATCTCCTTATAATGTGATTTCAGTAGTGTTTCGATCATCAAATGTTAACCATTTCTTTTTATTTTGAAACGAACAATAACTAAGATTTGAGCAGAATAACATCATTTCATTTTCTTTTGTTAACCTCTTATCAACTGTTACAACCCATAGTATTTTAAAATCAAAATTATGCATAAAAGTTAAAATACTTATGCAAGTTAGGTAGGTTGGTTAGAAGTGAATATATATCATCATGGTGGAGCAAAGTTTCAAATAGAGTCAATACAAATATTAAAAAAACATTAAAAATACATGTGATGTTTAAGAGGGAATATTTTGTAACATCAAGAGTAGTAGTAGTAGCTAAAAACATCATAGATCGTTAGTAAGGAATTGTAGTGATGGTTGAATTTCATTGAAATCACGAACTGATCTGAGTTAACCAACCTTTTAAAACCTGGAAGCACTAGACGGCTGCGCAATGATGTGGATTAATTGGAGCTAGACATTAACACCTTTGAATCTCGACTCAATGTTCTAGAGGTTATGTGTTCGCACTTGAGACCGTTGTTTGTTTCGATTCCGGCATGCGAAGTTGTGGATGCGCACTAATTAGGAGTCCCATACTACGATAAGGCGGCCGTCTAATATATATATATATATATATATATATATATATATATATATATATATGCAGTATGTTGTAATTGGATTACTATTTTTTCATCCCTCAGCTGGTTACTCAGAGCGTCTTCATCTGCTCAGGAATTTAAAACACTCTTGGAAAGAAACAACAGTAAATTTGCCAGAATAACTACTATTTGTTGTACTATTGATAGACGTGTTTGTGTTCAAATGTCCAATGGTACTGTTTACATTTATTCTGTTCAAGATATACTAAGTAGGTTTGAAACTTCTTTTTGTCAGATATCCAAATTATTTTGACAATGAAAGTTTTGGAAAATAATTTCAAACTTTATTGTAAAAATTTTGTTTTTCGTTACGAACTAATGTTCTCATCTTGTGAACCTTTGAAAATCAGCCAACCCATGAAAAATGTTACATCGTTATCGTTATGGTTGTTCAGGATTGTTGAGTAAAGTACATGCCAAACACATATCACTAGATCGAATGTATAACCTTGAACATAATTTTGATCTTTTTATTATATAAGTATCACAAATTATCTTTTGTTTCAACACTGTGTCTGTGGTAGTTTTAGAAGATTTAATATGATTCTAGAATTGATCTATTGCGTAGTTCAATGTGGTTAGCGGTTGTCTTATTTTCACTTAGATTTATTATAGTACATGTTCATGTAAAATTAACTCTTCCATAAATTTTCACTAATAAGTGAGAGTTACTTAACACTATATGACTGATTGATCATCGATTGTTTCGAACGCCCTGAATTACCGCTTCCTTTATAATTACTGCGACTAGTAAATAATTGTTTTACTGTTAGGTTGCTCCTAACTGATTGTAAAAATTTTGTTCACATTAGATAAGTTCTTTGGAAATATTGACTCATTATGTGTATAGACTACCTCTTTGGGGTCCGCGCGATTGTCGTAACCACTGTTTAGAGAGTTTGAATTACAGGGCTCAAAATCGTTTGCACTGGCACAGGTGCATCCATTTTTTGTCTTCCCCTAAATTGTAAGCTTCTGATTTACTCATAACGTCTTGTGTGTTCATTTTACTAATTTATGTTTTTTGGAATTGTGTTTTCGATGCCTAAAATTTCTATTACCACTGATACTGTTACTACCTATAATACTCTGGGATTCGGCCTAACAATTTAATTTTTCTGTAGTATTGGGGTGTGAAAACTTGAACCGATGTACATACGTGCCAGGTTCTATATTGCAACTGACTGACTGGTGTATAAGAATAATGCACATTTTTTGCCATAAATGCTCATATTTTATTTTTGTTTTAATTGATTATATCTGATAACAGCGTATACTCATGCGCTTTCTGTTGTAGTTTTTTTTATTACGACCCAACTACTATTGCTTAGTAATGTCGGACACTACTTCACTCGACAAGTCCCCAAATCAGAACATGGTTTAACAGGAATTTAATTATATTTCAAACAAAATGGTTGGATGAAAGTAGGGATCGCAATGAGAGAAACGTCAGTATATTTTTAGTTTTTATATAAAAAGATTCTAGAGTCCTGTTTAAGTGTCCACTAGCGCTGATTGAATAAGGAATAACCAATCAGTGTCCCCCAACATAATCCTATATGGATCGTGCTTCAATACAATCTATATCTTGCTAACACTTTCATAAAATGCTTGCAACGTATTACGAAGCTTATTTCTAATAAACTTAGGTATTACCACAACATGGCTCCGTTCATTTTCTTCATTCTCTTTTCCTTGAATAAACTGGTTTAGATTACCATAGGGTTAATGCATTAAATATATTCGTTGATAAAAATGGGTATTATTATTGGCTTTATTCGATATTATATTTTTGGTACAATATAGAATTCTCAGCACAAAGTATTTCAACAAGTTTCCTTTTCTTATTTCTTGATCGATCCTGGCGATATATATTAAGTGATCGCCAGTTAGTTGTCAGTAGTTCAGGAATCGACATCTGAATAATATTCTTTTTTTCTCAATGCATATTGCCAGCCACCATGATGCTGCCAATTATACTTTTTTACATGTACATCGAAAGGTCGTAAACTTTTCATAAACGCGCCTAAATAGGTTATTCGATTTATAGACATAATAATGTGTTAAAATAAACAAAAAAACTGATAACTTGTTGAAATATTTAGATGTCAGTAACAGGTAGCCAGATATTCAAGCAGGCCGCCTTAAAGATGATCAATCGTAAACATTCATTGTTTAATAACTTTCTATGCATATTTTTGAGTATTCACAAGGGAAATATTTGTAAAACAAGACCATTGTTTGAAGTTTGCATGTTTTTTTTTGTTGAAAATTCTTTATTTATGCTATCAAATTTTCTTCTTCTTCTTGCTATTATTATTAATGTTACTGAAGTTGGCTATTAGTGTTTCTTCGTCAATAATTGTGTTGGTCATATTTTGTTTTGGTATGTGTTTGAGCAGATGATTTTTCAAAATACTTCCACCTATGTATCTAAAAATTTTAAATACAAAGCAGCAGATGCCTTATGTCCTTCTACTATTGTTTTAGAATTAGAATTATTCTGAGCCTCCTCCGGCCCCTAAGTTAACTTTTTCATACCCAATAAATTATTTTAAGCTTTGTATGTCTACATTCATCGTCTGACCTTAGTTGAATCAATTCTTTGACGTAAAAAGGCATTAAGTGAAGGGGCAGCCAAATAAAAATGTGGCATCAGTCCTTGAAGTTATTAACTTCTAGTCTAAGCCATGTTGGTAAAGACAGACTACTTGGTTAGGGTCCGCGCGGCTATCATATCTAATGGTTGGAGACTAGGGGTAACATGGCTCAGCATCCACAATGGCGTAGGTGTTTACACTTTTTGTCTTCTCTTAAACTGCGAGATTAAAATCGCTTTATACCTTTATTTCAACGGACTTATTCTTTCTTCCTTTATTATACACAATCTTTCATTTATATATTACTACTATTGAAGTAACTACTTCTATAAATTTGGTGTTGTGCTGATAAGCTGTGGCAACTTGGACCGATGTATATATGTGCCTGGTCTTACGTTGTAGTTGACTAACTGACTAAGGTAACTCCATCCTTTTGTATTTAAAGACTAGAGGTGATTTGGGTTTGTATCCACCAACTTATATATTCACTTAATTATTATTATTTATCAAAGAAGTAAAATCATTTTCAACAAAATTGATACAAGTATGGAATCAAAAATTTATCTTAAAGAAATAACATATTGAAATATTGACAAAAATGTTTTATGATATGCTTCTTATTATGAATATATCTTTATCTGTATATACGAATATTGGTTAATATTAAAATGAATAGTTTAACAAAAAATTTTTTTTGGTTATCATCCTGTAAAAGTCCTGACAAGTTTGCTTGGAAGAAACGTTAGAATTACTTGAATTTCAATTGTTGAGGTTATTTCAAATACAATTTTCATATATAATAGCGTCTTTATCTGTGTTGTTAATGGTTGGAAGAAAGTTAGGGGCGGCCAAACCAAAACGTAGCATCAGTGCTTGAAGACACTAACATCTGGTGTGAGCCATGTTGGTAGATGCAGACTACTTGGCTGGGGTTCGCGTGACTGTCGTAACCAATGGTTGGAGACTCTTGGTGACATGGCTCAGAATCGATCACAATGGCGTCGGTGTATACACTCTCTATCTTCCCTTAAACTAAGAGATTGAAATCGCTGCATATCTTTCTTTCCACGTACTAATTCTCTCTTCCTGTACTATATCCTTATTGCAATCTTTGTTTTATGTATCACCACCTCTGAATTAACTACTTTAATGAATCCGGTGTTCATCTTGTTGTGTTAATGAGGTATGGCAACTTGGACCGATGTATATATGTGCCTGGTCTTACGTTGTAGTTGACTAACTGGTTGTTAATTTTTACTGGAAAAAAAAAACTAATCAAATTACTGTGTTTTTGTGTAAATATTGCAACTACAGATTATTCATAATGTTGTTATACCATAAATTCATTTTAGATAACAATTATTGTTATGAAATTCTACAAATGGATGAATTCAACATTGATAATTTACATTCTTATAATCCATTAAATTGTATAATACAATTTCCATCTAATTGTGAACAATTATTATGTATACCAGTATTTGATGAATACAATTATAATATTATCCAATTGAATTCATCAATCATAACAGTTAATTATTCTGCTTTAATTTTATTTGGTTTTAATAAATCAACACATTGTTTATTCGCTGCTGTTTTACCAAAACAACATAATACTGGACATTTTCAACAAAATAATATTATTGCATTAAATATTACAGATTCCTGCTCTTCATTAATTGGATTATCAGAATTTTTAATTGTAACTAATGTAAAAAAATTGTTAATATGTGTTTCATTAGTATTTAATGTATCACAAATTAATGATCCAAATAGTCTTTTAAAAGGTAATACATTTTATATTTGAGTTTAATATAAAACAACATTTCTATGTATTGTATGAATTCCCGACCGTTGTTGCTATCTTGACGTGGTAGTCGTGCTTGCTTATCGTGATGAAGCAACCGAGCTATACTGGCTGGAATAACTGTTCCTCAAGGTCCTACCATGTCAGACAGGTCGGTTGAAGAGCGGTAAGACTAAAAGCAACAAACCCAAGGTCCGAAGGCGAAGTCGTACTGCTGACTGTACAGAGGTGTGACAGCAGTAAGGTGTTTCCTTCAGACAACCAGCATGACAGCGATGCTGCCTTCCTACAATTAGGGGTGGGGTTAGAAAAGGTCGACCCTAAAAATTCACACCTCGCATTATCCCACAGATATACCGTCTCCGGCGGTAAGGTCTCAATAAGTACGGAGCTAACACAAAAATTACCCATAAAAAGGTCGTGTGTGACCGACCTCAGGCAGTTGTCCCTTGGGTACTGCGGTCACGCTCCCAGGTCATTAAGACCACCTCTAATCCAATTTCCTTTTCAGGTACCTCCAGAAGAACCCTTCCACGGTGTGGGCAACCGGGAAGTGATAACCACCCTCATACCTCTATCAGCATTCAAGACTGACTGACTGATTGTATGAATTGTTAATGTTAATGGTAATTTTAGATAATGTTTATTTATTTATTTACTTGAACACATAAATATTGGTACAAGAGGGCAACAAAATATATATGCGCCACACAAAAGTCATTTTCATTTTATTTGTGTGTGGGCTGTGATACTGCCGGTGTGCCCAGACCGAAGCAGGTGGTTTTCTTAGAGGGCTACACCCCGAGCCTTTGACCTAAAGGTCTGGCCCACAAGGCAGTGGAGCATCGTGGGGAGATGCAGTCCCATGGTAGCCGGTAACCAACTTCCCTGGCAGAGGCTGTATTCGCGTGGTCATGTGAGAGCATTTCTAGAGGGTGGACAGGCCCACTCCACTCTCGGCCATACCAGGGCATTTGGGGGCATTTTAGATAATGATTGTGAAATTTCACAAATTGATTTAATTTAAAAATATAAACTATTGGATCCTAAATGATCTAAATGTTCAAGGTTTGCTGAGTTCTTTTTACTTCTTGAGCATAATTTTGTATGTACATTTTTAAGAAATCCTATCCAGCACTTCCTAGTTTTCAATGGTTCCCTATTTACAGTTAGTTCATAATATAAATGAGAAAATTCAACAGTCTTCACAAATCTCCATACTAATAACTTCTGGTATTTTAGTTATTTCTAAGATGTATTAACATGAAACATCGATTACTGATCGATAGATGATGGATATTCCTTACATCTTTCCGAGATCCAGTATACCTTACATCAGAACGCTGAGAAAGGTATTCGACTGGATAGGAAGCATAGCAGATGGGAATTAATATCAAAAATAGTGGTAATCCAAAAATGAGAGACATAGTTCAAATAGAACGAGGGCAGTTGAAAAATGAAAATTTAAAAGGGCATCAGTAACTTATGCAGCTGAAGCACTATGATCAAGTGCGGCTATCGATGTGATAATCTACTTTCTGACCTAACGACTATGTACATTCTCGAAGTCTAACCAACTCAACTAATTAGAAGGAGTAAACAGAGACTGCATAGATAATCCCTATAACTCAAAAAGTCAAACTAATACATACTTCGAGGTAGATAACTGATGTGCCCTCCATTTGAGTTCCCACATTTGAATTGAACCCAAGAAACCAGACCGACCTGTTTTCTTTCAAGAGGGAAATGTGACATAGCAAGCCAATCAGAGATCGTCCAAACGATAAAGTTATCTGTCTATTCGGTTTAACCATAAAATGCTTCCTCCTTACACTTAAACTGATTGGGTTTGTTCATAGAAAACTTGTGTATATTAGCATCACATTCTGATAATGCATATTACAATAATTTAACCCAGATTTTTTCAGTAAATTCGTTTGGATAGTTAATTCTTTATTTACAATATATCACAGTCATTTGCATCTGATTACCATATAAACTTGGGGTATCGTAGGTTTTGTCTTGTTTTGCTTAGTGGATTCAAGCATCATATTCAGATCAAGATTTTTTAACCTACTGGCACAGCTTAATCCTACGTCATCATTGTTGTATACAATCGAAATAATTGATATCACATCCTAGTGTTAGTGTTCGCACATAGAGACTCGAATTCACTGCTTGTCGCCTCAAACTCTAATGTGCTATCCAATGAACCACTGACTTGTTCAAGGGGGGATACATTTTAGGTTTGCATTGTTTGATTGTTGATGTATATCCAGGATTGAATTTTTATCTGTGATAATCCAAAGGTAAACAAAGCTCTTTCCTTTGCAAAAATTTTCCCTAAACTCAAATCCTTAATGACCGTTTGGAATATTCCCATTTTTGTCTATTTTTCTCTCTTTTTTTCTGCCATTATCTCAACATAGAATTACTTTCACGATTGAATATTCCTTCTGAATTGGACGCCAGTACACGTAAACCACCGCGTAACTGGTATAATGATAATTTACATCCAATCGAATCAGGTGCAATCATTGTAACAGCGATACCAAATGATACCAAAGTCATACTACAAATGCCACGTGGGAATTTGGAAGAAATTCATCCTCGTGCTCTTGTACTGGCACATTTATCCAAATTACTTAATAAGTAAGCTAGTTTATCATTATTATCATTATTATTGTTATAAATGCCTTGGTACGGCCGAGAGTGGGGAGAGTCCGCTCTCCCTCTCGAAATGCTCTCACATGGCCACGCGTATATAGCCTCCGCCAGGGAAGTCCTACTCACTGCCTTCTCGTGGCGGGGGTGTTGTTTACGAAAATGAGAGGACGAAAAGCGAATGTCCGGGGATTTAACCGGATCCCAAACCAAATCAATGGTGCACATGGGCTCCAGTATCCTGAGGGAACAAATGGCGTATGAACCAATCGTTGGTCACCGGCTTCCATGGGACTGCATCTCCTTGCGATGCTCCACTGCCTTATGGATCAGACCTTCAGGTCGAAGGCTCGGGGAGTGGCCCCCATAAGACAACCAGCTGCTTCGGTTTGGGCACCCGTGCAGTATCACAGCTCTCACACATATCGAATGAGATTTGTGTGGCGCATATGTATTCGGTGCCTCCTTGTACCAATATTTATGTGTTAAAATAAATAAATAAATAAAAGGGGTTTGAATTATTTCATTAAGGATTAATGATAATTACTACTGGAAAAATTACTCTTGCTTTATTGCTCATTCAGACAAGTCATATTTACAATCATTTGATGACATTTGTTTTTATTTCTTTTATACTACGTCACTTAACTATTCTCATCTTGCGTATTTTATATTTCAACTCTTAGAACAGCTCGCCTATGGTGGAAATCCTGTCCTAACTAAGCGACCTTAACTCACTGACTGGTCAAAAGTTATGTGCTACCACCGAATACGAACACTGAACCAGTCTTCCTGAAACCATGTATACTATTATGTGCTGCATCATGACTGGATTGTCACAGGCTAACCATGCCATGGGTTTCTATTTTGAATAAACGGACTGTGACTTGCAGTGAAATCTAGTCTGTTTTTCGTCATATATGAGATCCATCCGCCGGTTGTACCTCGATCTATGTGTTGGTGTTCACATTGCGATTTAAATTTCAATATCTTTTCTGTTCATGCACCCCTCACGTTATTCACCAAGCAAGCCACTTCAGTTAACTATTAACCTGCTCAACAAGTTATAATGTTTTTGTTATAATCTAGAAGAGTTTACATTTTTCCTGGTTTCGATATTCTCAACCGCTACCTACAATCCATCAGTTCTAAGTAATAAATCTAATGTTACTTCAGTGATTTTTTGAGGACTGTTTATTCTTACTAATTTGATTCTTTACGCATCATTTCATCGTATATATAAATACTGTTATGTTTTATTTTTTAAAAATAATTTTGATTTAAGTAAACAATATGAACAAGCTGTTAAAATGATGCGTCGTCATCGGATCAATTTCAATTTATTACATGATTATAACCCTAATTTATTTCTATCAAATGTCAAACAATTCTTACAATCAATTGACGATCCTGATTTGATCACATTATTTATATCTGATCTTGTGTAAGTCAAATTCTATATATATATATATATATATATATATATATATATATATATATATATATATATATATATATTCATTACATGTAATTATTAATAGTTCTAAACGAGTACTGCCGTGTTATTTCAAGCTCTGACCGTTCTATAAATAAGATTATAAATTTAAACTGCTTTATACCCTGTTTAGATAGAAGGATATCATCGCCATCGGTTCTTATACAAATAGTATAGTTCAAATCAGTGTATACACGAATTTTTACTTATCGACTAGGTTGGTTTAATTGTGAAATCAAAACGCGCACATAATTTAGTGTATTTGATTAGATCAAAAGAATAAGTCAATTGATAATGCTATCAGTTTTCATCGATTGAAGTGATAGGGTAATCAGTTATTTAGCAAATCGCTTCCTGCTATTATCATAGTAGTATGTGGGTTAAAAAGTAGAAGAAAGATACGCCTTTCAAGTTTTATGTTAGTCTTTTACCACACACACAGACAAACAGGTATTATCATCATAAAGCCTGGAACAGATGTGCATTAGCCCAAGTTACCATACTTCATTAGTTTGGTGAGGTGAATATAAGAAAAGAGATCAAAATAATGTACAGAAAAGACTAAACTTTGGTAATATGATTTGAAAAAACAAAGCGAAACGGTACATATTCAGGGATACTGGAATTTAAGATCGAGAGGAAAATAAGGAATTGATGTCACCTACCCCATTGTGAAAGATGCTGAACCATTTCACTCAATGTCGTCAGCCCCTACTCGTGATTATCACACGGACGTCAACCAGTTAGTGTTCACCTAACATACATGGCTTAGACCAATGGTCATTGACTTCATTTACTAATGCCATGTTTTAGTTTGGCCTCCCTTATCTTTATTTCAACTTCTGCATTAGCAAGCATCACTCGTTGAGGTAGACGGTGGTCTGTCATACACAACACATGCTCCAACTACCTCAGCTGATAAAGATTCACTACCTTATCAACCGATTTGCCATCTTTACTTTGTAACCTTTGCTTAATGTCAACATTGTCACATATATACAAATAATTATTTCAATTAATTGATTACCCATGTGGTCACCAATGTCCTAGTCTAAAACTACCATTTATTTGGTGTTTCTCTTTCATTGTACTTTTAACCTTTATTAATCCTGTCTCATTTTCTTTTCTTTTTTTCTATCGAAAATTCTAGTGAGGAAGATGTAACAGAAACAATTTATCATAAATTTTATTCCAAATCTTCCGAGCGCCATCGATCAACTCTAAAAACATCTAAGCTTGACCGAATAACTGATATTCTTATTGATAAAATGGAGAAGCATAATCCAACCAAGTAAGCACTTGAAAGTCCTTTCGAATAAAAACAAGTTAATTTGAAGGTGTGTGTGTTTTGTAACTTGGACTGATGCAATCTTTCTTTACTACCATTGAATTAAATATTTCTATGAATTTAGTGTTTTCTTGTTGTGCTAATGAGGTATGGCAACTTGGACCGATGCATATATGTGCCTGGTTCTGTGTTGTAGCTGACTGACTGAAGTGTGTGTGTATGCATGTACATGTGTTGAAAATTGCACATCATCTTGAAGTAAATGCCTGAGTACTTATATAAAGTGCCAATTTTGTAGAATAATCAATCTGACAGTTTGCTAATTCTTTCCATAACTTGTGCGTTAATATCATGTAATGGGTGAGATAGTTTAGCTATTTTTTTTACCAAAGTTCCTATACGTTAGAATTCTGATTTCTAAAAAAAGCCGACCTACAGTTTCTGGCTGATCGCTTAGGAAAATTCTGAGTTAATTAATACATCAGAATACAAATATTAAATAAGTCATTAAACCATCATTTCAATCTATGTAATAAGTATTAGTGAAATACTCATAGCTTCCATTTTGAACAATGAGCATAAGCAGCTTCATATGTCTTCCTATATAATAACCAATCTGAAAGTCAGGTCCTCAAGAGAATATTCATTTGATACATCAATTGAAATTAATAACCTCTATTACTTGTTTACTTTGGTTTTTCACTGAGTTATCACCAATATCATGTCTACCTAGCTACTAATATTAAGCGAATCCTATCGATCAAGTCAAAATATTTTACACTATCCTAATGACTCGACATCAAGTGCACTGTGTTTCCTGTCCGACTTGACATATATTGCGTATCAGTACCTTTACAGTTTTCTTTCTAGCAATCTTTAAGTAGTATCTAAAGTCCAAGAAACAACTAGAGAAGGAAAATAGTCCTTGACTATGTTAAAGATGAATGCTCGATGTGAGAAATTTCAAAACGCAAAAAAGATCAATTCAAATTTAGGAAAGAATTATTACTAGAGTAGTATTAATTACAAACAGGTTTTCAGCTATTAAACCATTTACAACATCCTTCTCTCTCTAAGTTAATAATATAGTGTCTTTTGATCTGTTTGGAGTGAAAGCGTTTGCTATGTGTTGACTAGTAAGTGGAAGATATCTGTTGGTGTACGTCCAATGACTAAGTTGTTAGTGTAACTCAGTTAGTTGCAACTGCCTGTTTACAGTTAACGGGATTGTAAAATTCAATCTTATATAACATCATTTCGTACATTATGTAGTCTAACTTTGTTCTGTAATTACGGATCTGAATATTGAAGAACTTGTGTGGGTTTCTGAAGACATGTATCACCAATTGAGCGCTGTGCTTTTAAGGCGTTTAGTTCTTTCCTGATTAAAATTAATTCTACAACTCGTCATTATTTATAATGCTTTGTGTAAATGAAAGACTTTGTTGAGGATAGAACGTTCCTTTCTCTCTTAATCTCGAAATGTTTTCGAAAACATATCTTTAAACCTATATTAATTCCAACCACTTCTGTTGAATTCAAATTCTAGTATACACTAATAGCTATACATTTTTGTCGAGTTGCTTTCAAAACTGATATTATTGTCAGAAGTGTATGATCATTGGTTATTTGGTAATTTTAACCCTAACCTTAAATAATCTTTGTTTATCCGATAAGTCGTTATATCGAAGTTTTTAATTAACATTTTTCATCTCTGGATTCATTTGATGAGTTTCTCGGTGGGTCTATCATCTGAAACCGATTCATTTTAGATTTGGTGTACAGTTTTGTGCACAAAATTATCCGTAAGGTCATTACCTCAGTTACTCAAGTAATTTTATCAATCAGTTATATTCCATTACAGAAAGGATGTCTTTTCAGTAAATTATGTTCTTAAATACTTTTCAGTGACTTCTCACTACTTCCGCCCGAAATCTACACTTGAAATCCCGAACAAAATACTAACATTGAAAAGTACTCCTAAGGTTAGTTCAGGTGCAGAGGATAAAGATACTTACAAAATCATTTGTGGCATTGATATTCCAAAAGCTTTTGGAAAAATGCAAATATTCGTGAAAATATGTAATTATCCAAACACGTAGCACATTGTTTTCTTCGGAACGTCCTGGGATGTTTCTATAAAACCACTGCTTCAAACGATATATTTTCAAATTTCTATAAGCTTCTGGAAGCTTCTTCAAGAGAATTATTTAAAGCTCTCTAAATTTTAGTATACCATAATGTTATAAATCTACTTATACCGTCAATACTTTCTTTCTGTCATTTACCACACACTTTTATACCTTCTCTATTAATACAGATTGATTGTGCCAATTATAACTTGTTATGCAAAAAAGGTCCCACCAAACTATGAAGCTGGCTTACTAAGATTAAAACTTTTACATGGTAAGCCAAGTATCGAATTATAATACACGTGTATTGTATTTTTGTATTCTTAAAAACATTTTTTACGGAGTTGATTAATCAGTAAATATGCTTTCTGGTGCTTATTGTCGTTGTTTCTGTTATGTTCTGTCATTTAACTCAGTTACATGTATTTACTCTTTATACGGTTTAATTATCCCAATATGAAAGAAGAAAAACTGAAATAAGTAGAAAAGTTCAATCGGTAGACTGAAATAATATATACTCAAATCATTGTTACAGAATTTTTCTTCCATTTCATGAAAGCGCATGCCTAATCGACAATCTTAACAATTTACCTCGTTTTTAATCTTTCCATCTATTGTTTAAACTTGAGAGGACATGTGTGCATTGACGCGTAATATGCTTATACTACCCCAATTTATCAGTTTTACATAATTACAGTACTAACATTCGCCTTCTTTGACTGGTTATCATAATTGATTTTATCTTTTCGTATGCTTTTGTTCCCATTGGCTGCTTTGTTCAGTTAAATTCTGACCATATGATTTGTTAACATTTTTCCTTATGGATTGCATATTTACCTAAATGCCATACCATTTAAAAGTTTTATGAGTAGATCATTCAACTCTAAAGAACATTACCAAGAAAGATTCACCTGAGATACAAATCTCCATTTTTTTCCATGAATGTATACTCATTCACTGAATTATTCAGTAAAAAATTTTCTAAGATATAATGCACATATTACTGTCTCTTCAATTTAACTTTGTTGCTTACACGTGTATATGAATATCTTAATTAGGAATCCCCAAACATAGCTCGTACATTGATGTAGTTGGTGATCAGGCTGACATATCATAAGGATCCACTCGAACTATATCGACTGAAACATTTGTTCGTTTAGATCCTGTCATTCTACGCACATCAGTTAGAGAACGGTAAGACTACAAGCAGCAACTTATTGTCCGAGGGCAAAGTGTCACTGCCAACTATACAAGACTGCGATGACAATAAGGTGTTTCCTTCAGATAACCATCATCTGCAACTATGCAGTCTTCTCATAACTAAAGAAAGAGATTAGAAAAGGTCAATCCTATAAATGTTACACCTTACCTTTCCCCACAAATTTTTGTATTTGGTTTTAAGGTCTTTAAAATACAGAGTTAATACATTTATGACTACTCACAAAAAGACAGTGTGTAATTGTCCTCGGTCTTATTCTCAGGTCCTCTAAATCACCCAAGGAGTATTCTTCCATAGTGTGGCAACAAAAGGTAATATCTGCCCACACACCTATAATAACACTCTATGTATTAGGATTATTATTTCAAACCTCAATTGAACATCGTATTTATTCAAACTGATGATTTTTTTCTCCAGAAGAATTTTCTAAACGGTGTTATGTCACATCATTTGGTTTGGTGCAACGCTTAAAAAAAAACTAAATTCTGAACAATTTGTACACAGTGGGTTGTAGTAGTAGTGATTGTTGTGATCTGTGGTGTAAATAGTTGTTACAGGTAGTTTGGTGGTATTGTCGATATTATCACCGATATAAATTAATCAATTACGCCGAATACTTCGGCTCTATTGTATATTGTTCTTCCGTTTTTGAATGGCTAAAAGAACATTACTTATAAAATTTTCCTGTTTTTTTTTAATCAGATTCATGTTTACTCTGTTTTGCCCGAAATCCACTGGTATAAGTGGAAAAAACATCGTATTGTTTATTCGTTTATCGGTTTTCATAAAAACAGTGATTGTTGTAACCAACCTATCCAATGTAATGTTCTTAGTAAATATTGTCATCTGTTGTTTAAACTAATTTGTCCCATAAAGACAGCAAAAGCTTTATAAAACTGATTCATTCACATTTTCAATCATTTAATAGCTGAACCTGGTCTCGGCAAAAAAATCGCAATTCTAAACCCCTCTCACGTATTCCGCTTTATGCTAATGGGTACTATCATTATCCCTTAGCACACACGCGGAGAACGTGGCTAGAAGCCTAAATATATACACCCTTACTTTATAGTTATGTTACATTACAACACTTTCAAATTCATTTTCTTCGGAATCACAAATCTAACCCATCCTTTTGGATTAGTTAATACTCTTATAAAAATGAATTCATGCTATTCTTCTAGAATGTTTGTTCTTGCTCTTTTCAAAATACTCTTATTGTTATTACTAATATCTAATTGTTTTGCAGTTCTTGATTTATCATAACCATCTTCCACTTTGTCAGTTCGGGTTCGATTCCCGACGTCTACACACAGTTCAACTGAACGGTGTCGAATAACGTCCTATTTTCAGCTACTAAATCTCATCTGTAAACTTCTCCCCACCGAGTTTATTTTCACCAGCTGAATGATATCATTAGGTCTAACAGTTAGAATGTATATTAAAATAAGTTATCAGTTTTGAGATCAATGAATCGGTCATGAAAATATGGATTCATTAATAACACCAAATTGGTAGACTACAACAATATTGACATGAATTATAATTCCTTATCATTTAAAATACTTATATCATGTACACAGTTCATTGCACTTTTTACTTCCTCAAATCACCCAACTAATCTATGAGTTACAATAGTTTTATAATCTCTTAGTTAGTCTTATATATATCAATAAGATAATTTACTACTGATAACTGCTCAACTTGTTTCCTCCTTTCGTCCAGCCCTCCTCCTCCCTTATTACCCATTAATTTTATACCAATAAGATTCATAATAAAAATGAGAACAAATTTAGTTTTATTCTAATCGATAAACACATATATGTATCTATCTAGTCTTGGATGTATGCATTATATACTTTATTTAACAAAAAGTACAAACATATTTTTGGGACTCAATATCTTTATCGATCAATAGCCGAATTCCGTTTGTTTAATAACAGTTACTTTTTTTTCATTGTTCCCACACTTTGTACATGACTACTGATATTTTTTAATGTTCGATTAGTTCAGTGAGTCCATAAACATGAGTAATTTGATATTGAGAATTCGATAAAAGTAATACATAATAATTTAGATGTCCGTTTAAAATGATACTGCTTGTTTCCCTATGTGCATGTTTTTTTCGAATAAATATATATTATGATTATCAGTTAAATTCAAGACTCACTTTGTCGTCCTATTTTTGACTCATCAGTTAGATATCCCGGGATCCCATTGTTGATGTTTATATTGGGATTTGCGCTCAGTACCTATTGCCAAAAATGTCAATTCATTCCTGATTATTAACAGCGGAACAACTCAAACCCTTGATTATGATAATATAAGCATCATATCCCTTAGATAAGTCAGTAGATACTTGGATCTATCACCTCATTTAAAACTGTGTTGTTATTTGAAACGTTACATAATGGGTTCAAGCTTCATTGTAACTAACAACACGAATCTGAGAGGTAGGTTTGTATCTGACAGTATCTTAGCACGAATTCAGGAAGCTACATCAAGTTATACCAAAGTGCGTCACTTTTGTTGTTGACAAGATGCCCGTTTTCCAATTAAACGATGAGTATACTACACATTCTGTTCCGCTTTATGGCTATGAATTGGTCTTTAAAAGTAGAGAACATTCGTAGATCTCTGATCATTGATGCCTTCGATTTATTACTCATTCATGACCGAAATATATGATTGAGAAGATGAAGTTAAACTCAGGGTAATAGGTAGGAATGGCGACTGGGTTGATGAGATAATAAACCGTAATCTACTGAAATGGTTGGGACGTGTATAATTTGTAATCAATCACCACCTGTCTTGATAAGTTTTGTATGTTGACGTAATTGTACGCTGGAAAAAATCTAGGAGAGCCTAGACGAATTGGGACTTTAGTTCATGAAGTTATTGACTGTTAGTAGGTGCAAAATTTTAACTTGAAATTATCGAGAAGAAACAAACCACGCTTTCTAGTTCTTGTCACGGTATTTTTTCTCACAATCTCTTAGTCTACTTACAAGTATAGTGTTGTTTTCATGTAAATATTCATCAGTCAAGCCCAATTGTACTGTCTATTTTGAGATATTAAAGCCAATTTTGAGTCAATCACAAGGACTATTAAAAACTTATTTGTAGTACAAAGCAAAGTATATTTAATTTTTACATCATTATTGGGTTGTTTCATGTTCAAAATTGGCTTCTCTGTTTTGAAACCAAAGGAATTTTGGGAGAGAAATTTATCCTTGTCACCACATATTATTTTTCCTCTGCAATCTTTCAGCGCTCAAACTGTTTTTAAGTCTTTTCGCATTCCCAACTTCAATGGAATCTATAATATAGCTCTGCTGGATAACCATTTCATGTGGATGTTTTAGTCTTTCACGACATATGTAGGCTCTTCAGTCATCAGTTTACATGGTGCTGTATGACGGAACATACTTTCTGATTAAAGGAATAGAGATATACGGTCTCAGGTTTTTCACATCCTGAAAATGTCCCTTCTGGAAATCTCTATTCCAAATTTCAGAAATTCACTTTAGTTAAAAAGAAGAAGCTACTTACGCAATTTACTTTTGATTTTCTTCCCATTTTATATTCTTGTTTTAGAGATATTCGATTATAGTTTCCTCACTAAAATTGCTCATTAGTCTGTTGTTAGTAAGTATTCTGTTAGTGACTGGTAAAACTTCAATCTTAGCTTGGGTGTGGCATTATGCATCTACTTTGGCACTGATGAACTCGGGGATATAATTTGATATAACTGTAATAAAGTTTATTTGAATTATATAATTATATTCTCAAAACATTAAAAGTCCGCACCGTATTAAAGTATGTCTTCACAAGGTCATAAGTTGAATGAGACTAATCATTTCACTGCACAGCTAATAATTTCATTGTGCATACCAATCCACTTGCTGTTGTTAACGGTTTCGTTATGTAGATAGTTCATGGGTATACTTGTCGTCACATTCGACAACACATTTAGTTGGTTTAGCGAAGAGCATCACAGGCCTATTACATTCTCTGTCCTGCAACATGCGGAAGACTCAGGTCATTCGATCTTAGATTCTTCTTCTGGTATCACCTATAAAATCCATTCAGAAATATTAGGGGAGTTTTCATCCCATCACATTAGTTTAATTCATAATTGGAAAACCGAGTACGTACTTATCATGACAGTTTGTTCGATAAGTCTTTTTGCTACAACTATTTTTCCAAAGCATACTCTTACGTAATATTTTGAAAAATATCTCTTTCATCATATGGCTAGCTTTCTGTCATAAGAAATAGATTATTTCTAACTGGAACTTGTGATTATTTTATACTTTCGACGGTCTTGATTTCAAACTGAATGATAGTTATACTCATATCTACGCTGCATATTCTATTGATTTATCATTTTCTACATTTCATTGTCGTTCTTTTATCGTAAATGTCCACTGAATACCTATTCACATTCAAATTTATGCTTTACAGACAGAAGGTTCGAGGCATGTGTTAATCCTGTTATAATATGCTTCAGTGTAGCTCTAGTCCTCTCTAAGATGAGTCAATTGAAGGTTTAGAAAGAACTCCCAATAGTAAGGTTGAGTACACCTTAAGAAAACCTGTATACTACTGTGTTTTTAGTGTTTAGGTCTGCGCGTTATGTTCACCAAATATTCTTCACTTAGTTTTAAGTAATAGAGAGGACATAGTAAGTCCAAAATCATTTCTTTGTATCGTAATTAAGTTACCTTCAAATTGACGTATAAAAAAGCCTAGTTTCTCATGGCTTTTGTCGTAAACCATCAAAATCATGGAGTAGCGCTTCTCTGTACTCTTCCCAAGAGATTTCAGTAGCTTTTTAAACAGAATCGTACACACACAATCTTGTAATTCTCACACTCAAATGGTCTGCCCAAACGATATTAAGTAGATTTGTATCTAACTTGGTGAAAACTCTTTTTAATATAGATACAGTTCAAAGTTCCGTGTTCATAACTTTATGATGTTATGCATATATTTGTACGATGGTATAGCTTTAAGAACAAACTGTTTTGGAGAATAATCCTTCACTAAGCTAATTATTCTACAAGCACATCCCCTACTAAATAATATAGTTTATAAAATGATTTTTATTATTATGTAATACTGTTAATCCATTCTTTTTAGAAAATGGAGATATAAATACATGGAATAATGGATTACGTCATTTACAATATTTCGCTACACCAATTGAATTGTATAAAGTTGCATTAGGTACATATGATTTAAATTTTGCTACAATAATGGCACAACGTACACAACTAGATCCAAAAGAATATTTAGCTGAATTAAACGAATTAAATTCTATAACAAATGACTTGAAAAAATATCAATGTGATACCATGGAAGAGGCTATAGCATATCAACAATTTAAAATTGATCATAGCTTGAAAAAATATTCAAAAGCTGTTCTACATTTGATTGATTCCGGTAAGTTGTAAGGTTTATTTTTCTTAAGTTAAACTATATTTGGTCCACCAATAAGACATTTCACTCGTATGATAGGTTCATACGCTATTTGTTCCTTCAGGATACTGGAGCCCATATGTACCATTGGTTTGAAACAACGGTTAACTAACTCCCCTAGGTGGGTTCTCCGTTACCACCAACTCGGTTAAAGTGCCTGACATTTCATTTTCATTTTCTCAATTTCATAAACAACACTCTTACCGCGAGAAGGTAGTGAGTAGGACTTCCCTGATAGTGGATATATACGCGAGGCCATATGAGAGCATTTTGAGAGGAAAAGCTTTCTCTCTACACCATTAACCGTACCAGGGCTGTTACAGATATTCCTTATCTGTCGACTGTGAAACAAATTATCTCTAGTTTAGTTGTAGAGAGTGATAGACAGGCAAAATACCTATAATTATTTGCTTACCCATTATCCGTGCATAAGGATCTAATTATTGTATGAATTTTTACGAATATATTTTATTATTATTTTTTATGTTATTGATTAAATAATCAGTAGCTTTGTAGTTCAACCATGAAATCCTATGTTTGGACCCGGTTCAATTTCCTTGTTTACGACGTCTATGTTGTAATATCACTAACGATCACAAACAGCTAAAAGTCAAGTACGAAATCATTTTGTTGGTAGTTTGGAATTTTTCTATATTCTAAGATATCTAATATTTGTTTTGTCCAAGTTTGAAGTTTACATTGATGGTATGGAGTGATCATCTGCAGTCGAAGTTATAACATTTGACTGAAAACTTATCTTTCCACTAAATTCTTTGCAACACTTTGTATTTTTTCCGTTAAAAACCTCATGAACATAGGTAATTAAAAAATATCCAATGCTTTTCATATTATTTTTATTTGAAACAATGTATTCTAGGTTCTAAACACAAAGCGGAACTATTATCCTATGTGAAAGCATATCATTTATATGCACAAGTGACTGAAGTAATACCACAAAATTCTGAAGAATTCAAGGTATTATTTTCCTATGAATGTTTTGATTTGTTGTTCTGTTAAACTTTCACTAACTCTCACGTTAAAGCGGTATATTTTAATATTTATCAATACTATTCATTTAATTTTAAGATATTTAACTACTTAAAATGTTTGAATAAATAGATTTTCATGGTTTACATCACAGCCTAGTATTTTTTTGAAAAACAGAAAGCACTGGATAGCTGTTTCGCCTCAAAATAAAACTCCTCAACTGTGTTTATCCACAACTAATTATTTACTGATTTATACCCTCCACTCCATCTAACTTATGTTGAAGAATTATGTACGACAAATTTATATACTATATGACTGAGTACATTCCACTTATCGATTAATAGTGGGGAAAAAAGTTTGTTAACTATACTTATGTGCAACATAATCACCAATTCCCCTTTTTTCATCTTGAGATTTTTCGAACACTCAATCTTTCAAGTATCAATGATACTGAGGTATAAACTTTAAAAATTATGTGTTAATGACTTAAACATTTGCTTGTTTTTCGTCCCTATCGTACAATATCTCTTCTCGAATTCTCATTGATCATAAAGCCTAATAGTTATTTTATACCGGAACAAAGATTTATCTAATGGAATTGAAACTTTAAGTTTACTATATAGATGAGTTAATCAAGGCAAGTGGAAAATGTTTAAAAATATCTGTTGAAGTTTTCACAATCACTTTTGAGTTTTTTTTCATGTATGAAATGTGATTTTTAACAATCTTCATGTACATAAGTTTACTGTTATCAATAGTAGTAAATAATTCAACTTTAAACATTGGTTTGTTTTATGGGCATCTAAATTACAAATTAACAACTTGTAAACCATTTAGTGAATGCATATTGTACTTGGAAAGGCTTTCCATAACAGTCCAACAAATTAGTGACTATCTGACTTCCGTAGTCAACTGAACATCTTAATTAAAATCTACTGGGTTGCAGGTACATCTAACCAATGAATTTCAAACAAGATGAAACATGTGTTCTGAATCATGTTAATAGTCACAATCCTTTTATTCTATATCAAGTTACCCAACTATAGTTTTTGATTAGAAATGAGAATCTTTTTAGAAGGAAACAATTAATTCAATCATCCTATGATTTACCTACATACGGTTTATTAGTATCAGACATAGTTTCTTTCCATAGCTAAAATATTATTTGATTAGAACTTCGTCAAATAATCAAGTCATTCACGGACATGGTTTGTTGCGGTACATTAATTATGTGCCCTATTATTGCATGGTGGTCAGCGGCAGCATTTGAGTGTGTATCTTTATCAGTAATTTTCACATACAATAGTTTCGTAGTTTTCATTATAGTTAGACACCAGCAACAAAACCTCTGAAACAATAAGGACGCTTTAGACTTTTGGTGGGAAGTTGTCAGTTTTGGCAGATTCAACTCGAGTGGGAAACTTATTTATTTATTTGAACAAATAGATATTGGTACAAGAAGGCACCAAATACATATGCGCCACACAAAATTCATTTGATTTGTGTGAGGGCTATGATACTGCCCGGGTGCCCAAACCGAAGCAGGTGGTTTTCTTAGAGGGTCACTCCCCGAGCCTTCGACCTGAAGGTCTGATCCACAAGGCAGTGGAGCAACGTAAGGAGATGCAGTCCCATGGTAGCCGATGACCAACGATTGGTTCATACACCATTTGTTCCTTCGGGGTACTGAAGCCCATGTGCATCATTGGTTTGGAATCAGAGTTTTTCAACTCCCCTAGGTGGACTCACCGTGTCCACCAGCCCGGTTAAAGCGCGGTACATTCTATTTTGGTCCTCTCAATTTCGCAAACAACACCCCCGCCACGAGGTGGTGAGTAGGACTTCCCTGGCAGAGGCTATATACGCGTGGCCATGTGAGAGCATTTCGAGAGAGTGGGTGGACTCTCCTCACTCTCGGCCGCACCAGGGCATTTGGGGAACTTACTACTTAGTTGACCTTCTGTGAGGATCGCGCTACTGCATGAACTATTTAAAGCTTAGGTTGTGAAATACTGGACTCATGTTTATTGTAATACATCAAGGTCCGTTATTTTCTATTCAGTCTTAAGTCGTTAGTGCCCAATAGATATTTTAAACGAAAAGGAATCGTGTGCAACGGTGCTTGAAGATAGCCGATAGGAAACCATGGACTCAGATTCCATGCTTTTCGGGACTCTTCAGTGAGGTTTACCTGTATGTTTAAAGAAACTGGTGCTTCCAGGTGGATTCGACATCTGTGACTCACACTCACAATGAAAGACGCGGACGCTGGTCTATTCGAACCTCTACTAATCTCCTGTAGAACTGATCTGTATTTATAACTAATTGATCACTGAATACTAATCAATGTTATGTATGTCAAATCTTTCTTAGTGTTGATCGAATTCTATGGATCAAGTCACAATTTGACCATTAGTCAGTACTAAGATGTATTTGATATACATTATATTGAGGATCAGGAATCAGTAATGTGTAAAAGCATATCAAGCATAATAATCCTTGATTTCCAGTGGTTCTCCAGTTGATATTAATATTCTATAAAAATCATTTTCTTGTTCGTAAAATCCACCCAAAACTTATTCTGGCAATCAAAGTCAATATAGGAAATGATATGTGTATCCAGAAGGCTTGATTAGCTTTCGCCAACTTGCATCACTTGTTGAGTAGGCGAGATATTCGTCTTCTGACCAAAAAGTGAGTTTACTGCACAGCAGTTCGCTCACTTCTACTTTATAAATGTCGAACGGGCATTAATAGTTAAGGATATTTGGTGGTTGCAGGTATTTGATTATAGGTATCTGCGAAGCATCGCTTGTGTATTTTGGGACCATGGAGTAAGCAATGCTTGGGTTAGCAATAGAGTACTAGATAAACATGTTAAAGCGACTGATGAGGTGTTTTTATTATTATTTGAACACATAAATATTGGTACAAAGGGGCACCAAATATATATGCACCACACACAAAATTTCACTTGATTTTTGTGTTGGTTGTATTACTGTTCGGGTGTCTAGACCGAAGCAGGTGGTTTTCTAAGAGGGCCATTCTCCGAACCTTTGATCTAGAGGTTTAATCCACAAGGGGGTAGACCGACGTTAGGAGATTCAGTCCCATGTTAACCGATGACCAACAGTATGTTCATACGTCGTTTGTTCCCTCAGGATCCTGGAGCCCATATGCAACACTGCTTAGGAATCAGCGTCTTAAAACTCCCCCAGGTGGACACGGAGGGTCCGCCAACCCGGTTACATCTCTGGACATTCGCTCTTCATCTTCTCAATTTTGTAAACAACACGCCTGCCACTAGAAGGCAGTGAGTAGGACTTCTCTTATAGTGGCTGGTGAGGTAGTAAATCTTCATTAGTCGAGGTGGTTAGGACATTTGTTACACGTTCCCAACCCCTGCCTACCTCGACGTGTGACGTTTTCTGATATAGGAGTAGGCTGGAAGAAAACTAGGAGTAGCCAAACCAAAACACGTCATCGGTCCATGAAGTCACTGACAATATGAATTAACCATATTAATGGGTATAGATTACTTGGTTAGATCCGCGTGTTTATCGTAACCAATGCTTAGGGACATTGAATGGCATAGCTCACAGTCGTTTTCAATGGTGCAGGTGCATCCATTCTTTGTCTTCCCCTAAATTGTAAGCTTCTGAATGATTCAGAACTTTTTCATATTTTCACTTCACCAATTTGTACTTTCTCGAAACTTATCCTCAATCCCTAATCTTTCTTATTACCACTGATACTGTTACTATTTCGGGATTTGATCTGACATCATCTATCTGTGTTAATGGGGTATAACAATTTAAACCGATGTACATACGTACTAGGTTCTACATTGTAACTAACTGACTAATCATTTGAATTGTTTATATTTACATGATACTTAATGTCATAATTTAACATTGCTCATATTGATAATTTTCTCATATGAATGAAATACTTCCAATCCACTTATAAGCTATTTTGTGTTTCACAGTCATAAATAAAATATCATGAACTACTGTTCCATTTAATCTTCATCTACTTATCAGATGAATATTTTGTTTGCATTATTGATTACATTGAATAACAACACTATCTAATTTAATTGAATCTAATCATATATGTGTGTCTACTACTGATAAGCTTTTTTCTCAGTTAAAAAAAATAGCTTACATGGTAAAACAAATCATAACTCATAAAAAAAAATATGTGCATTTTGATTTAGTTTCTTTATTTATTGATTTGTAAATTCCAAACAATCAAAATAGCGTGATATATGGATAACATATTCATATTTTGTAACTTAATAGTCTTTTGTCTAATCTTTCCTATAATGTCGCACAATATCATTGTGCAAGTTATTGATAAAGACAATTCTATTTAGTTTATAGTTCAAATCATTTATCATTTAGTCTATGCTTGTGAAACCTGGTCTCTCCGAGTTGAGGACGTTAGACGACTTTCTGTGTTTGATCACCGTTGTCTCCGAAGGATTGCTGACATTCAGTGGCAACAAGATGTTAGTAATGCAGAGGTTCGGCATCGTGTGTTCGGGCGCAGAGACGATAATCCAATTGGTGTCAACATCCTGAAACATCGACTTCGGTGGCTTGGATATGTTCCACGAATGTCGTCCCAGAGGATTCCTCGTCGTGCATTACTTTCCGACACTGGGACTTGTTGGAAAAGGCGGAGAGGTGGTCAGTGTATGACATGGCGTCGTGGTATGAAAGGAAGCTGCAAAGGACTGGCTTCTGTTGGTCCTTCACGACTCCCTGGCTGAGGTCCGAGAGATGGTGCAACACAGTGGCTAGATACGTTATCAGATGTGGCTCAGAATAGAAGCCAGTGGCGATCCTGCTGTAACCTTCTTTTACTTTCTTCATAAAAAGTGGTTGTATCTTCCTTAACTGAAAGAATTCTTCTGGTTATACCTTTCCGTTTCCCCATTATTATTTATTATTATTACACTACCATACAATAATCTGGTCGTTATCGTTTTTTTTCTTATATGCACCTTACCTTCTTTTTCTCTTCCCATTCTCATTGTTTTGTGTGGCGCATATATATTTGTTGCCTCCTTGTACCAATATTTATGTGTTCAAATAAAATAAAATAAACAAAGACTGAAAGTGAATTTTACTTAAGAACATATTAAATATACAATCGATAATCCAGAGAATATAATGTTGAATAAACTTATTCTTCTTAAGACCTGAAGGTGTTATGTTCGATTATTGACGAAATCATGGCTGTTCATCATCATTGGAAGATCCCGAAATTGGACGAAATAGTTATTCAATGCTTTCTAAGTTTTCCAGTTGTAAAAAGGTCAAGTCATTTTAAAACAGAACTTATCTCAACAACTAACCGGAGTAATCAGTAATTATCATATATTTTACTGCATCTTATTTGAATGATACACTCATCAATTATTCATCGTCAAGGAATTTTTTTGAAAACTAAGCACTCAAACCTATACAGTTGATTACTGTTAAGTTTTACTTGAATTTTATATCTGCAGATGTGTGTAATTAGAAAGCACTAAATAATAGTTTGGGGGCTATTGCTCGAAATCAGTCACAATAACAAAGATTTATTCGTTTCTTATCATCTGCTTTAAAATTATAAGTTCTAATTTCACTTTTCAAATTTTTTGTTCTTAAAGAGTTGTGTTTTCTTTGTTTAGTCTTCTAATACTACCTACACCAGGTTTATTAACTGTTTGGAAGCTAGTGACCACTAATTTACAATAGTTTTAACGTTGATAAGAGTGTATATTGAAGAATAGCAAGTTTTAGGTTTGAAGTCAACTCTCCGTCGACCTATTTGTTTTTTGGTTAACTTAGATTTTTAACGTTGTATTTGATTCTCTCTCTTTTCAGTGGCTCATCTACTGAGTTTGTTTTTGTATGGTTATTAATTTACATTGGATACAAATTCTCCGACTCAACATTTCTCCACTTAAATTCCCATTCATAAATATTCACACAAGTTAATATAATTGAAGATTTGTTATGAAATTCATTAGATAAACGGTGTTTGGACAAACGACTAGAAGATGACTTTATTCTATTTAGTATCCTTCTATAGGTATGTAACGGGTTGTACTATGTTAAATACTTATGTTTGCATAGTACATAGATCATAAACATTTCATAGTTCACATTACTACTTGACCCTAATTAAATAAACATTCAAACTCTAGAAGAATTGGACAGTTTTTCCATTCTATTATAGAACTCCCTAGCAATGAATAATCCTACAGGACTTAAAAATTTCATCTCCCTATTGATTTTTACATGTCAAGTGGAATCATCAATAACATTTTAAAATAACAGATTTTATCCATCGATCATTATTATTATTCGAGATTACTTGTTTCACTGTTGACTTTTTATATTTCATGTTGGTTTCACCATCAGATTTTAGGCAACTTCATTAGTTTGATTGAACATAATTTTCAGTTGTTCCTATTTTTGTATCCAATATTATAGATTATTTGTCAACTATGGGCGGATTATTTAATTTCTTCACAAAATTTAAGTTATGCTGGTCAGATTTACATGAAAGGTGGATTTTATGGTTTAGCTGCCAAAACGTTCTTATCTGTTACTAATACCCAACTCTGGTGTATTGCCGCTTCGAACAGTCGACTATTGAATGATAAAAATAATACTGATTTATCTACTGATCACTATTTAAGTAACGCAGAAATACGTACACAAGCACAAAAGTTGGCAGGTGATTCACTATTAATATCATCAATATTACTCTTTTCGGTTTATTTCATACATTTCGTTTTCTTTAATTTATTGTAAACCAGGTACCACGTCGGTTGATTAGTCTGTAGATTTTTGACTGATGTGGTTGGAGCATGTGTTACGTATGCCCACCCAACACCCATTTTGACGCCGATGTTATGGTAGGTTGGAAGGAAACCAGAACGTAATATCATTTCATGAAATCGCTGTCTGTCACACTAGTCTATGTAATTCGGTTCACATCACCTGCTTCGAGTCCTCATGATAAATGCGTTCATTTTGTTAGCGGGACATAGACTATATTAAAGCATGCTCAATGCATGATTGTTTTGGTGCACGCTGATTGGCTGATTCTTATCCAATCAGCGCTAGTCGATAGTTGGAGAATATTCTGGATTCTTCTTATGTAAAAACTATAAATATACCGACGTTTTCCCCTATTGTGCTTCCTACTAGCTTCTGACTTGCTATTTGGAATATAATCTTTTTCCTGTTCAACCGTGTTCTGATTTGGGGACTTGTCGAGTGAATCGGTGTCCGAGAATACCAAGCAATAGGAATAGCTGAGTCGTTAACCGTAAGAAAAGAGAGATTATAACAGTGGCGACGGGGAAAAACTAAAGAAAAATGGCGATTTCTTTAGAACAGTTGCGGTTAATATTACAGCACCAGCAGAAGTTGTTAGCCTTGCAACAACAACTATTGAACACACTTTTCACTCGACCAGAAAATAAGAAATCTGTTTATGATGCAGTAACAGACATTTCAGAAGCATATCAAGTGGAGGGTTCAAATCCCTTTATACCTGAATCAGAACGTAATATTTGTAACGTTTCCGGCTCATAGCAAGAAAATACTGTGCTGAATGCACATGAAGTTGTGACAATACCAGATGATCAGGAGCCAGATCCTGTAGATGAAGCCCGGAGTCCAGAATCAAATGAAACACTACTGGTACTGTCTAGCTGCGAAAATAAACGTCAGCTCGAACAAAATTGTGGTCCACGTGCTATTAGTCGAAAAAGCTATGGTGACTCGTATTCAGAAAATAACTGGAGCAACACGATGAACCAAATTGTACCAGATGTTACTCAAAATCACCGGAAGACAGAATTTTATATTGAGTCAACTTATCCCATTTCTAATGACAGTGTACCAGATATTGATTCTCAGAATAATGCATATGATTTTTATGAACCTTCTTATAACAATGAGGGAAATATGTCAGCTGAGTCGAATGATGGCCAAAAATCTAATCTAATTCTGTTAGACGTTGACTTTCTTAATGACTCGTTATCAGCTAACGAGATTCATAATGAATTTGAAAATAATGAACTCAGATCAAAGGTTGTTCATCATCATCTAGTCATTTTTAGTGGATTCTCCAGTCAATACGAGAAACATGGTTTAAATAAAGTCCTACTAGTTAAAATTTGGAGCCATAAGGACCCAACATTATTTCGAGGAGGAGGAGAATGTTGGAGAATTAAAAGTTATGCATACTTTTTTTTTAAGAAAAATCAAAACGCCGGGAACAGATATGTCAGTCTCTGTGCAAGGAAAAAGTGATAATTCTTCATTGCCTAGACGATGGACTAATCGAAAGCACAAGCCAGTCACTCAGTTGCAGTTGGACCCTAGCACCAGATCCTACGAATCTGCTCAGAGGGGAGGTGTTAGCGGGACATAGACTATATTAAAGCATGCTCAATGCATGATTGTTTTGGTGCACGCTGATTGGCTGATTCTTATCCAATCAGCGCTAGTCGATAGTTGGAGAATATTCTGGATTCTTCTTATGTAAAAACTATAAATATACCGACGTTTTCCCCTATTGTGCTTCCTACTAGCTTCTGACTTGCTATTTGGAATATAATCTTTTTCCTGTTCAACCGTGTTCTGATTTGGGGACTTGTCGAGTGAATCGGTGTCCGAGAATACCAAGCAATAGGAATAGCTGAGTCGTTAACCGTAAGAAGAAACAGAGTTATAACACATTTGTTTGAGGATGTTAAATGACATGACCCAGAATTGATCATAGTGATAGTGATGCATTCATTCTTCATCTCTCTCTAGATCTTCAGTTCCAATATTTCTTCGCATGTATCTTTTCTCATTCTTACTTCTTGAACCATATTCTCAGTCTTTAATCTTTTTTATCATTGTTTCTTGTATTATTTCAATCCCTTTCCTATCCATCTAATTAATTTTATCTTCTTGTGGTAAGATGGTACAAGGCAGTGGAGCATCGTAAGGAGATGGTAGCCGGTGACTAACGATTGGTTCATACGCCATTTGTTCCATCAGGATACTGAAGCCCATGTGTACCATTGGTTTGGAATCCGGGTAAAGCGCCGGACATTCGCTTTTCGTCCTTTCAATTTCGTAAACTACTCCCCCGCATGCAACGTGAAATCAATTTGAGTATCTATCGACTTCGAATTCAAAAGATATAATTCTACATGTTACCTATTTTAGAATAGTTTAAATGTGGATGAACTAATCTTATCAATGTTGATGGATTAAACGTTATACGATCTATTCAAATTACTGTCTCACTGACTAATATTTCTGTGCGTAACATCAAATACATTATCTTCATCATCATCATCATCAATGCAGTCGAAATCTATAGAACTTAAGTATACAATTGCAATGTGAATAATCCATGTACTTTATTATACACTTGTTTTCCATTTTGATACAGTTCACATGATTATCACAGTTTTCATATGACTGATTAAATAATTAATTAGCTAATAAAATATATCACATTGGGTTCGCCCATTAATTTATCTTGTTTTTTTGGATACATAAATATTCATAATTATAGGTTTCCAACATATGTGATTGGTGAATTTATAGAGTTCACTTATTTTGAGCATTATATAGAGTTGGGCACTGATTGTATTTGATCATATCTCAAATTGCTTGGAGTTAGAAATGTCAACTATTGGATACTGCTAATTTCAATAGTCTAACGATAACGTGTTCTTCATGAAATCCGAAGGTCCCACATGTGATCTATACCCCATTATCACAGCGAGATGGGATTTTTAGGGCGAATCCCGGAATAGTAAATGTAGTAATAGTATCACTGGTAATCAAAAGGATTAAGCATTGAAGATACAATTCGAAAAAATATAAACCAGTGAAATAATAAGTAACTTTTAGGGGTTTATAAATTGAGGATCTACAGGAAGGCAAAGTGTATGCACCTGAGTTATTCCAAATGATTTCGAGCGATGTCACTTAGCATTTTCAACCACTGGTCATTTCATGGACTCCAACCAAATGGTCTACACCTATTTATACGGATCAGTCCAATTGTTAGTGTTTTCATGGATTGATGACATGTCTTGGCTTGACCACAGTTTCTTACTAACCTACTCCTACATCAGCCATCATTGCATGTCGAGATAGTTGATGGCTGGGCATGAATATAAATGTCGGTCAATCACTATTCAATAACTTTTCATATATATATTTTTGAATATTCACAAGTTAAGTCCCCCAAAAATACGAATTTTGATGTAGTTCTGTTTTAATATCTAATTAAAATCCTTTACTTTAACCAAATATACAGTATATATTAAACCAAGTATTATTATTATCACTATTATATCTAATTTATTTCTGATCATCTATAAAGTTATTTGTATTATGCAATCAAGCAATACACAGCCATATATTGAGTACATTTCAAACATCTTAATGTTGTGTATTTTCTCAAAATAAATTATCAATGTACATTTGTTTTTACATTATTATTGATCTTAGTTGGTTACTGTTTCATTTTTATCTTTCTTTGTCTATAGCTCGATTGAAAGATCTTCAACGTCATCAAGAAGCTATTCAAATCTATATTGACTTTTTAGAGGTAGGAAAGACTTTTTCGACCAATAACTGTTTCTATTATGCAAAAAAAAGGTAGATCACATGTTACCAGTCTACATATGGCTGTTAGAATAACTGTAATGTTGAAGTTATTTTTCAACTTATAAGGGTAGTGGCTCCCTAAGAAAATCACCGGCTTCGGTTTGGGCGCCCGGGCAATATACAAGCCCTCACACCAATCGAATGATAAAATGTGGCGCATATTTATTCGATGCCTGTTTGTACCAATATTTACGCGTTTAAATAAATAACCTATAAGCAAACAAACTGTATAAATAAAAAATACTTCACAACAGAAGCAATGAAATCCGTTAAAGTTTATTGGTCTTAAGTAGTTTATCAGCTTTTCAATGCTAATTATTAGATCCCCCATCTTAATATTGTAGAAATATCACTGGATTACCTCATTTATTTGAGCGTTTCTTATTAAATCTTTATCATAGCCATAAGTAGTTGTTTGACCCCGAATGACCCGGTACGGTCGGGGGTGTGAAGAGTCAGCTCTCACATGGCCACGTGCATGCAACCACCGCCGGGGAAGTCCTACTCACTGCACTGGCTTCTCGCGGCGGGGTATTGTTTACGAATTTGAGAGGACGAAAGGCGAATATCCGGTGCTTTAACCGGGTTGGCGGATGTAGAGCAGTCACTAAGGGGAGTTGGAAGACGCTGATTCCAAAGCAATGGTGCACATGGGCTCCAGGATCCTAAAGGAAAAAATGGCGCATGAGCCAACTGTTGTTCACCGGCTACCATGGACTGAATCTCCTGACGTTACTCCACTGCCTTGTCGATAAAACCTTTAGGTCAAAGGCTCCGGGTGTGATTCCCTAAGAAAACCATCTGGTTCGGTTTGGGCACCCGAGTAGTACCACAACTCACACACAAATCAAGTGCTTTGTATGGTGCATATGTATTCGGTGCCCCTTTGTATTAATATTTATATGTTCAAATAAATAAATTTTTGTTTGGAAAATTTATCATCCTCTACTAAGTCTTTATCAATAAATTCCCTAAAGAGCTGCAAAGATGGTATTATGAGAAGAAGATCGTTGTCATCTCACAAATATAGGAAATTCATGCGTAAAAGTCATTATAAAATTTAGCTTTCCTACTTAATCAGATTACCTTTCATTCAATATATCACTAGTGATTTTTATTATTTATTTGGGGGCATCACTAGTGAAGTCATACATTTGAGAATTTACTATCAATTCAGTTAAGTAAACCGAAGGCTAATTGATTTTGGGGTTGTGTACAATCTACATTAAAGGAGCGATCATTTCATATGTTTAACATTGTCATTTTCACTCTAAATTGATTTTTTTTAAATCTACTCATAATTGAAAACTCTCTAAACATTGAATACATGAAAGGTACTTCTATGGTGTATGTTACTTATGTCTCTCGACATAAGTAGACATTGGAATTAATTCTAAGCTCTCTCATTCAACGTCTCTAACCGTTGGTTACCATAATCGTGCGAACCTCTAAGCAAATAAAACTCTTCACACTACGAACAGACGAAATTCTACAAACAATGAGTTTATGAAGTCTTGACAATTCTTTTATTACATATTTTGCGTGCTCAAACAATTGTAAATAGAAAATGTTTTTTATTATTGAAAATTTTTATTATAAATCTTGTTTCTATTATTTTCTTGTCCTTTGATTCACCATAGGATCCTGTAATGGCCATCAGAACAGCTTGTGAAGATTGCCTGTGGATGGATGCTCATCGATTGGTAATGCTTCATATTTTATTGAATAACATGTTTTTGTTGTATAAAATGGTACAATTTATTTATAAAATACTGAAATATCATGCATAAACAACATAGAACCTAGCAGTATACACGAATCAGTTCACTTTGTCACACTGTAATAACACCGTCAGATGAGATTATCAAGATAAATCCCAGGATACTAAAAGTAGTAACAACAGTATCAGTCGTCGTAGGAAATTTTATCCACAGACAATATGATTTGAGAACAAATAATTGAATTGATAGGATAAAAAGTATGAGCTCAATTTAAAACTCAAATATAAGAGAATATTAAGAGTAAACGCATCTAGGTCATTGGAATTGATTCTAAGCTATCCAACGTCTAACCGTTGGTTACTGTAATCTCGAGGACCTCAACCAATTAATCTGGACCTACCTGCACGACTGAGTCCAACAGTCAATGACTTAATGTTTTAGCCACTCTTAGCTTTATCTCATCCTACTCTTACACAAGTCATCATAGCGCGTTGAAGTCAACAGTGGTTAGGCATAAGTAATGCATATTGTAATCACCCCAGTTGATCAAAATTCACCATCTCCAGTAAATCCGACATACTCACCTTGTACTGTGCGTCTCACTGTAATATTGCCCACTTAGTCATTCCACGATACGGCAACAATGCTTCAAAGGCACTTATGATCGAACACTAGTAACCTATAAAGGCCAAACTTCATAAAACAGGCTACTTTATCTTTTTGGGTAGTAGACACGAAAAATATTCATAAAATAAAGTTTTTGTTTATTTTTTTTTAACAAATCAGCATAAATACTTTCACTTTTATTCAGATTAAATAATGATAGTAATAATACCAATAGAGTGTAGTTAAAAATCCCCTCAATACCGCTATTTATCGATCTGATTCACAAACACACAAAAATGCAAAATGTAAATTGAATTAGTTTGTTTTCTTCTTTTCTACACAAAACGATTACTGTAAACCAAACAGAAAAAAAAACTTAAGCTATAAGAGAACCAAAACGATTTCGTAAATCAATTTCATGCTAATAACAACACTAACCCAACTATCCTTTCAAACTACATAATTCTAAAATTTTTTCGCAATAGATAATATGCAATACACTGCATTGTATTTTTGTGACAAAATCAATCAGTGTGTATACATACATTGAGATACGGATAAAAACTATATAAATCATATTAAATATTGAAATAATAGAAATTTTGTGAGGGAAAAAATGTCATTTGAAAATCATATTTATAATAATTCGTATTTGTTGTATTTTGTTTGTGTTCAATGTACAATGTTAATCAGTTACGCTTATTTAGTGGCTTTGAGAAAAAACCATGCAAATACCTTCATCAGTTGAATTCATGAGTCAGTTAAAGTTAGACCACCATGGAAAACACTGGACGGCCGTTTCGTCCCAGTATTGGAGTGAAAGTACTTCATCAACCTAGCTTTAATACCGATACTCGTAATAGTAGTAGTACGATACGTAGGAACAATTTGAATTTGTTAAATACTTCATGAAAAAGTAAAGAGTGTAGGATGAAAATGAGATTAGTGGTGTAAGGAAGATCTAAATATTGTAAAGTTAAAATGAATAGTAGTAGGTATTATGTCAACCATATCGCGTGGACCAGGGAAAACAAGTTTGATTATGCATACTTTTCACATACACTTCTGTGGTTTCTTTCAGTCTAATCTTTGTGTTGAAATTTCTTGAAAAAAATATCACTATCTGTATGGCAACTCAACCATTATTTAAAATTAATCAAAGATTAAGACATCTATACCGACTTCTGACTTATAAAACAGTTGAAGATAGATGTTCAGTATTTTTTCAGATTTATATAAATCTACCATGGTAATTAGCTGTGTTTATCAATACAAAAGTCATAAACACTACATCTAGAGTGTATGTTGAGAACAATACTTTGTCCTCATGGAGTTTTAAAGGATTGCGTTTTGTTCGAATTCGGGCTTACCACTTTCTCATTCCACTATCTGACTCCAATATAGACGAACAATAAATGGGCAACGGACATAAATTCTCCGATTGATTTCGTATACTCTAATTGGACTAACCCCATTTTGTCGACGACGTTAATACAAAACCATATACGAATTCATTTCAGGCACTATTTTACTCAGACAAATGAAAATAATATACGGAGTAGGGAATCGTGCCAATTCCGATGGTTCAAGCGTTACTCACTATTATTTATAGCCAAACAGAAAAATAAGCTAAAAACGTGATAAATAAAATAATTAATGATATAAAATCAGTCAATGTTGTAAGTGAATAATTAACAAAGTTAGAATATAAGCGGATGGTATTTCAAAAAGAATAATTTCATTGGTCTGTCTAAACCCCAGAATAATTTATGTAGGCATGACATAGTACTAGACGCTCTGAGAGCTTACTGACAAAAAATTATTAAAAAGGTAAACCAAGATCTATTTTAGTTCTAAATAAATAAAACTGTTCATATTACAAACATCCAAAATTCAACGAACAATGATTTGATGAAGTCTTGACCGAATTAAATGAAAAAAAAACTCTGAAGTTACTGAAAAACTATTATCTCATTTCAATGTCAGTGTTTTTCTTAGTTAAATCCTCTAAATAAGAATACGTCATAATTGTATAGTTTACTTAAATAACTGTACAATCCATTAAAACATGCTCTTTTGAAGCATATTATATTGACCGTACAAAGTGTACTCTTTCCAAATACATATCCGAAAAATATCCTTCATAGTTATCTACAGCTGAATATAAATCAGTCAATAGATCTATTCTAGTAGAACAAATTTGGTCAATTCTGATCATCTGTTGTCAACAGGATTTTCCCTCAGATTTTAACATCATTTGTAGACAGTCGGACTTGAAGTATTTGTTTCCGTATTTGACCTGTAAAAGTTTCTCTATTCTCCCTCTTTCTTTTTCTTCATGTGTGTTGTATAGGCATCATTATATAATAAACAAGAATTTTTAAACCAAATCCTTAAATCTTCTCTAAGTGAACATTATTCTATCTTAAAAGAAAAATTGCGTAAATCCATTGATACATACGATAAATTATTCGATCGATTAATTACTCTGCGTCAAATGCATAAACAACAGGCGGAAACACAACGATTTGTTCAGATGCATGGTGATAGAGAGTATTTCGGTAAGTCTTGGCATGATTAGATTTACTAGAGGGAGGGGTACAGGGCTAGAATGTTTGTAAATTAACCGATTTTTTGATAAATTCATTTTGTATTGTTTGTTTGAATCTCCCCATTGATGTTTAGGACTGCAATTTATCCGTTTCTTATTGGCATATATCCAGCTGATGAAAAGCGCGTTTTGGATTCCACTGCTAGCCACCATCCATCTTTACTTATAACGATTATGTGATGGTTTATTTTATATACTGAATCCCAATTAACGGAATATATTTTGTTCAGTCTTGAATATGTTGCACTGCCTGTGGTCTGTTTTAGATTCGTTTTAATTAACTAATCTTGTGTTTATTAATCACATATACCTACACCCTTTTTTTAATATGTTTACAACTTATTGTAAATCAAATTACTAAAAGGCTCATGAAGTACCACCACAGTATATCGGCACAGTGAAAGATGTAAATAAATCACTAATAGGTAACGAATGAAATCTCAGGACAAATAGCAAAATATTAAAAATCTCCAGCTTTAGAACAACCAGTTATAAGTAATCATGCCATCCCTTAGATCTCAAATCATCCCAACAGATATTACCTACGAAATCTGCACTTCATGTTGCTGTGAATTTGATCAATAGTCAACAACTTAATGGACTAATCCTATGCATTGATCTAGTCAACTCCTAGAGTTTTTTTTCACGTGTGAATATACGTAACACTACGTTATGAGCAGTGAGTTTTAGCTTACACTGTTCAAGTTTGCGTTCACTTATTATATACCAATTTTATGTTTGCCTTTATATATTTATGAAGTTATAACAATATATTCTGTATTTCGTGAAAGCTGTTTTGCTTTATGCTTGTGAACCTCGAATTCTCCGAATTGAGAATGTTAGACAAGTCTCCGTGTTTGATCATCTTTGTCTCCGACGGATTGCTGACATCGAGTGGCAAAACCATGTTATTAATGCAGAGGTTCAACATCGTGTATTTGGGCACAACAACAATAATTCAATTGATGTCACCATCTTGAAACACCGATATCGGTGGCTTGGACATGTTTTACGAATGTCGTCCCAGAGAATTCCATGTCGTGCATTACTTGCCGACTCGGACTGATTGGAAAAGGCAGAGTGGCGGTCAGTGTGTGACATGGTGTTGTGGTAAGAAAGAAAGCTGTACGGAACTGTCTTTTGTTGGTCCTTTACGACTCCTTAGTTGGAGTCTTAAAGATGGTGCAACACAGTGGCTAGAAACGTTATCAAACATGGCTGAGAATATAAGTCAGCGGCGATTCTGTTGTGACTTTTTACTTCCTTTATAAAAGTGAAAGTAACTTCTTTAACTAGAAGAATTCTCTCTGGTTGTATTTTTCCTAACTGAACTGTTTCTCCCATTATTATTATTATCATTATTATTGACTTTAAATGTTGTATCGATGTTATCAATTCCCTTTTGTTATTATCACTGTCAAATATAGGCTTTCAGTCACATGTACATATACTAGTTATATCACTGTTCAGATTTAACAGTGAATTAATTCAAACGAATTGTGGTAATCATTGCAAGTTTACTGAAGTATTAGGCAACAAGTATTTAATGTATTGCTACAAAAATAAAAATATTACATACAATAAAGTTATTGAATAAATCGCTTTCAGGAAACATAAGTTGAGTCATTTTGATGAGTTTTGCACTAATTAACATATAATTAGGATGCATTATAAATATGAAGTAAATGAATGCTGATTTGACCTTTTTTAAGGGTCATCCATATTAAATTTGTAGCGTATGTAAAAGTATGTACTTTGAAATCGATACCAATGATTCAGATATACTTAATTTTGTAATGCCTAACATGTCTTTCTGTATCCTCATACTGTAGTTTTAATGTTTTTACTTAATCATTCCTTTCATTGTAATAAAGAACAATAGTCATGATGTTGAAACAAACTAAATCGATACACTTACTTACCAAGCTTGTGTGATTCGGTTTACTGATATAGTTGAACACTCTCGAAGTATTGATTATCGTATGAATTGTAACTTTTTATGTTGTCTATTATTCCCTGACTCATGATATTTTTCTAATCAATCGTTCCCAGAACCAGAACTAACAGTGAACTGTATGTACAATATACAACAAAGAATGCAGGAGTAAATACATTAGACTCTGTATTGAATTTACATAAGAAACTTGTAGTATCTGGACTTGATGGGGATCGGTGACTGGTTGGAAATGGACCAAACTGCGGATTCTGCTTGGAGCATGACCAGAGCATGCAACAGTCATGACTCTGTCGTGCCAACAAATATAGGGGAAGAAAGTTAAATCCTAGCTAGAAGTTGTCACACTATCGGTCATACATTTAGTAACAACAACGGAAAACGAAGGGATTACAGTTTTGACAAATTTATTGC